GATGATTGTTTGAGCCATCGTATTTGGATGGTTTTTCATTCATGGATTCTGTTCCAATATCTGGTATTGCGAAAGTCCCATTGAAACGTTTTTCTGCATATATACCTGAAAGCTCGTTTTCCGAAATGCTCGTCCCGGTTGACAGGCCATCATTCCCTGAAAATCCTGGTTTTGCTTCTAATTTTGCTTGATCCGAAGATCCAAACAAAGTGTTTTATTATTCATTTTAATCATTAGTAGCAAGACTTTAGTTTTAACAAGAGAGAAAATCCGTCCTGTTTGAGCCATCGTATTTGGATGGTTGTTCATTCATGGATTCTGTTCCAATATCTGGTATTGCGAAAGTCCCATTGAAACGTTTTTCTGCATATATACCTGAAAGCTCGTTTTCCGAAATGCTCGTCCCGGTTGACAGGCCATCATTCCCTGAAAATCCTGGTTTTGCTTCTCCTAATTTTGCTTGATCCGAAGATCCAAACAAAGTGTTTTATTATTCATTTTAATCATTAGTAGCAAGACTTTAGCTTTAACAAGAGAGAAAATCCGTCCTTGCAGATGATGCGAAATATCCAAGGACATTTCATTGCAATAATTGTTTAATTCATCCTGTTTGATCGCGTATTCAGCTTCCGTAATAGAATTTATCATTTGACTTTTTTTTAAATTTCTTCAGCTCAATCAGCATCCTTGGTATCTGACCAATAGACAGGTATTAGTTCTAAAAATATGAACATAGATGATACGAACTATAGTCACTGATACCTATACAATGGTGGTGTGCGCGTTCTGACGGATTGGAGGAGATGTTTGCATAGGCACTTACTTTATTTTTGTTGACGCGGTTTAATTCGATGGTTTGCAATTAGCAACCACCAATGGTTTGAAATTAACAACTTGATCAGCCTCTACTAACCCGTGCGAAAAGATACTTCGCTTAATATGTGGCCGAACTGCAAAAATAGAGACTAGGCAGAACGAACAAACAGTTCGTATCTGGCTTTCAACAAAACCGTGCATGTGATTAGAATTGGACACCTCAAATTTGAAATAAAAAACGCCGTGCAACAGATGTTGTTAAAGCATAGGCCTACAGACTTTTTGTATAATGCATTTTAATGAGGTCGTCCGAGGGCCACAAAAACTTATTCGTGGGCTGGGCCGCAGTTTGCCGAACACTATTTTAGACCATCGAATGGATTGGTTGGTCCAGCAATCATCTCACGCTTAGCACGATGTGCCACACTGCCCTCCTTAGGTATCCATCTTCATTCTTCTGCGTGGCTAATGTATGATGTCGATATATATTCCGCAACCAATTAAATGAGACAGAACTCCACAGGACGCAGATTATGTGTGAAGGCGCTGCAAACTGGCAGAACCGGACGTTCTGGTCTGGGCGTTTTTGGCGTCCAAAATGGAGGCATAAACAAAGTCACGTGATCGGTGAAAGTCCTCTTTTTGTCTTTGCCGGGTCTTGTTGTCGCATTATTCTTTCGAATGCGTTGGGATTCTTATATTAGTGAATCACCCGTTTTTATAGCAACGTAGGTTCATTTTTGACTAATATCAAATACCAGGATTATGGTGTTTTTACGGTTTTATGCATTCTATTATTATCAAACTTGTCCACTTCTTTTCAGTGTATTGAACTGAAACAAAATTTTGCTATACAGGTATTACTGTAACATGGTCCGCTTCTCTGGGAAGCTAGCAGCTCTTTTTCCCCTCGTAGTTGCTCCTTTCAAAACTTTTACCCGATAGCCCACTACAGCCAGAAGTGGAGTAGCCTACTCCAGCGGTAAAAGCTCAAGTTATAACCCATGGGAAGGAAAACCCACAAAGGAATTAAAAGCTTTGAAAGAGTCGGTGGATAAGTGGCAGTCCATCCTGTACGCAATACTATTAAATTCACTATCATAACAGACAATACGGAAGTATTTGGCCTACTAAAGAGAACTCGAAAACCCCAAGTCCTTGAATGCTGATACAAAGATGGCTAAATCATTTATCAGGATTCCAAATGGTTAAAAGTAATACAACACTAGAGAGGTTTTTACCTCCGATGGTCTTTATCGCTAATTTTGGATGGAAATGTCCTTTACGCCAAATGAAACGCACGCATGGGACACACATAATATGTCGCCGAAAAAAAAGGAGAAAAAATGGAACGCTACGCTATCAGACAAAAAAGAGAAAGAAAGAAGAGAGAAAATAGAGCGCGGCTTGCCTCGGTAACCCACTGCAGAGTGCAGACATAAAGAATGCTCATTTGTGAGCGAAGATTTCCACCCATGGGAACAATTGCAGAATCTTTTACAGAAACAATTTGGCGCCAGATACCAAAAAGCTTACTTGCAGGAAGTAATGCAAGGCAGTGAAAGGCAAAGAGCTATCGTTACAGAAAGTGGCTTACGGCCATACGATAGGAACTGCGCCAGCGTATAGTGAATATTCTGGCAACGAAACACTATATCACGTAACGCGAGCAAAAAACGTATAATCCTGACTACAAACAGGGTTGGAATCCCTGACGCGAAAATACATACATTTTACTAGAACAAGAAAGACAAAAGTTTAGGAGAAAATGAGAGAAATATCAATTGATCCGAACGAGACGTGGGTTTATTGGACACGTAGTGGACATAGCGATCGTTTCAATATTATGTTGTTGTTGTTGTTGTTGTTCTTTGACACGTTTTTAAAAAGTCGCTTTTCTCTTTGATTACTGGACCAATTGCTTTGAAATTTTCAGTGGTTGAAGATAAAAATTTTCTTCAGAAGGCTATTACTTTTTTTTTCTGCAATGACGTCATCAGAATTCTTGCCCTTAGGGGGCGCTACGTGTCCATATATTTGAGCATAGCTCTCTTGTCTGTATTGGAAACAACTAACCCAAACGTGTTATTATTTTGCGGGGGCCGATACCAAGGGAACTGATTCGAATCGGGGAGGTCGACAAGTTTACGAGCTAATCGCAAAGAAAATTAAAAAGTTTTACGAGCCAATGATTGTACGAGCTAACCGCAAAAGGAAATTAAAAGTTTTACGAGCCAATCGCAGCGGAAATTAACAATTTCACGAGATACGTATTTAACTTTATGAACGTATTTATTGTACGTATTTAACTTTATTATTAAGTTATGCCCGTCCTCCAGGTCCTCTGTATTTTATTTGCTCAATCGTGGACCAATTGCTTTGAAATTTTCAGTGGTTAAAGATTAATTTTTTCGCTAGAAGGCTAATTTCGTCACGATTGAGTGAACACGGACCCTGAAATTGATAGAAAGCAACTTCCATTAAGAGTGATCAGTTTATGACGAGGTATTTGAACTACTTAATGAACTATAAAGTGGCCGGGGGCAGCGCGCCGGACGAATTTTCGCCATTCGTCGGCGCAACGACTCTGTTGCATCCATCCAACTCATAATCAAACATCCACTTTTTTACTACTCAAATCCTTTCCTTACATTTCCGCTCGCGGGTAGCGAAGCGACCTACCCTGGATATTGCCAACCGCAAAAGGAAATTAAAAAGTTTTACGAGCCAATCGCAGAGGAAATTAACAATTTCACGAGATACGGTAGATAGGATTTATTTGGCTGAGGCGACTTACTTTCGGAATAAAGCATTATCTCGCTGTGTTTTATGAATTATTAATAAGTGACACAGAATGCAACGGCGGGTTGTTGTGGCCAAGACATACGACTCTATCAATGTATGACTTCATTTTAGTGTATTGAATTGAAGGAAAAACTCAATATTGCCGATTTTGACCTATTGTGGGCCTCTGAAAGGTCTTATGAATAACCTAAAGGCATGAACATGACTAGAAAAATTATTTGAATCAGTTTTAGGTGGAATTTTTTTCTTTCACATTTCAGTCACGCTCCAGTGATTTTTGGTCACATCTCGAGAATGGTAATAGATAGGGATGTCAGATTTGGGCTAAACGAGGTAATTAAAGTGAAGTTCATGACAAAAAAATTTTCGTCACGATTGAGTGAACACGGACCCTGAAATTGATAGAAAGCAACTTTCATTAAGAGTGATCAGTTTATGACGAAGTATTTGAACTACCTAATGAACTATAAAGTAGCCGGGGGCAGCGCGCCGGACGAATTTCCGCCATTCGTCGGCGCAACGACCCTGTTGCATCCATCAAACACATAATCAAACATCCACTTTTTTACAACTCAAATCTTTTCCTTACATTTCCCCTCGCGGGTAGCGAAGCGACCTCCCCTGGATATTGCCAACCGCGAAAGGAAATTAAAAAATTTTACGAGCCAATCGCAGAGGAAACAAAAGAGCTACGCACAAATATATGGACACGTTAGACCAGAGCGAATCAGTCCTTACCGGTACCTTTGACGCTACCGGTACCCTCAAAAAAGTTCTGAATTTCCAGTAGCAAGAATTTTGCAGAATCAAAACGTACAGCCAGTCATGACACTGACTAAAATCCGTGTTCCCATGGATAAAAAATAATACAGCAAAATTTTAGACGAAATATCAAATTTCATAGAATTCACGCAAAATTTTGAAATAAATAAAAGTAATAGCCTTCTAGCGAAAAAATTAATCTTTAACCACTGAAAATTTCGAAGCAATTGGTCCACGATCAGTATTCGAAGAGAAAAGCGACTTTTTAAAAAGCGTGTCAAAGAACAAGAACAACAACAACATAATATTGAAACGATCGTTATGTCCACTACGTGTCCAATTAACAATTTCACGAGATACGGTAGATATGATTCATTTGGCTGAGGCGACTTATTTCCGGAATGAAAACATTATCTCGCTGTGTTTTATGAATTAAAAGTGACCTAGAATGCAACGGCGGGTTGTTAATAGAGTCTAGTCTAGAGAATATTTATGTATTTTTCTCAACATTTGAGCACTAAAAATATCAAAAACGCATTTCTATGGAAATGCGAAAAGACGGACAACTCACCAGGCCTCTCTGTAGTCGAGTTGTCTCTGGTGAGTTGTCCGTGTAGTCGAGTTGTCCGCATCCCTTGTTAATGTGGCCCAAGACATACGACTCTATCAGTGTATGACTTCATTTGAGTGTATTGGACTAAAGGAAAATCTTGAAATTTAGATATTACGGTACGGCAGCAGGTTCTGTAGGTCTGCTACTCTGGGAAGCTAGCAGCTCCTTGCGGTTGCGGTGTATTAATACAATAATAAGTCAGTGAGTTGGAAGGATAATATTACATTTCAGATCATAATGTCTGAAAAAGATGAATGTTCTGCTAATAATGACCCCAATCTGGCCGGGTCCTCAGAACAAGATGAAAGTCTTGGAGCTACAGGAGGTGCCGAATTGGAAAATGGGAATATAAATTTCCTTGAAAAGTTTATGGAACAATTGAAGCTCTTCAACAAACCTGCTCAAGAAACAGAGGATGAAAAACCAAAGCCAGAGCAGTTACTTAAAGAAGTGACATTTCAAGGAGTATCGGATTATATTCAATCTCCCAAGTGCAAAAACATTATTGTTTTATCAGGAGCTGGAATATCAACATCTGCCGGCATACCGGATTTTCGAAGTCCTGGTAGCGGTTTATACGATAATCTGCAAAAATTTGACCTTCCTTCTCCACAATCTATATTTGAAATATCGTATTTCAAACAAAAACCGGAGGCATTTTTCACCTTGGCAAAGGAACTCTATCCAGGTTTGTCCTTTTTTCATATTCTTTTGCTTTACCATTATAAACTATTTGAGAGTTGGATATGAAAAACAGTTGGCGTTAGTCTACCTTGCTACTGAAATCTCTGATTGGATGGTCTATTAGTAAGTTTCATATCCTATCCATATGCAAATATCTTATTTCAGTATTTTGCAAGTCCAAGCAAATTCACCTTAATAATGGAATGTTTAATGATATCAATTATATAAGGCAATAAAAAATAGTGATGAAATTGTATATCATTAGTATAATATCCAATGATGAAGGAGGAAATTGCATTTCATTGTTTTTAACAAACCATCCCAATATAGACTGCAAAATCAAAAGCTACACCAAGTAGTTCTTTGATTTTAACTTGATTGATTTACTTATGAATCTAACATATGAGATCTTTTTTCTAACTAGGTGAATTCAAACCTACAATTTCACATTATTTTGTCAAGTTACTGGAGACGAAAAAACTTTTATTGCGAGCATACACTCAGAACATAGATACTTTGGAACGGGTAGCTGGAATTAGTGATGACAAAATAGTGGAGGTAAACTCTTTTAATCAAATATTTAAACAATACTGAGTGAGCTATTTACTGCCAGAGAATGATAGCTAAATGACATTTTCTTTTAGTATTGTATATTCTGGCCAATATCATATTGCCTAAATTCCATGGAAGCTTTTATAACATTTTTTGCTATCATGATATTCAATTTATATTCTTTCTTGTAAGATTCCAGGGAACGTTTGTTATTTCTTCATTAATACAATGGTTTTCAGTCACAATTTATACCTAGCAAAGCTAGAATATAGGAGGTATCATTATTATCAGAGGTGGCTTTATTGGTTTATTCTCGAGAATTGAAATGAAAGTGTGAGGGAGTTATAATACCGGATATACTAATTTAGATATTAAATTTATTAATTTTTATTGGTATGGTTTTTTAATTCAAGGCACATGGAACATTTCACACATCTCATTGTTTATCTTGTGGAAAGTCTTACACACAGTCTTGGATGAGAAATGTTATTTTCAAAGATGAAATACCGAGATGCTCTGATGAGTCATGTGGCGGACTAATTAAACCTGATATAGTATTTTTCGGTGAATCTTTGCCTCCACGATTTCATATGAAAAGAATGGTAATTGTAGTATTACTGATATCGAGTGATATGCAAAACAAAACATAGGTGATAGGTTTGAAATTTTATTGTAGCACGTCATTGTCAATATTCAAATTTTCTGAGATGTTTTGCATCTTGTTATTTTTTTGATTAGCTTTCTTAATTTTGTGTGAACGAGTATTATGGGTAGCAAATTCGGAAATTACATTGGGAAGTTGACATTTTGTGTTTTCACTTATAGTAGGTAGTGGTTCCAAATATTTTCCTAAATAATTTTGTGTAAGTGAATGTATGCCTCGTCATTTCTTGTATTGGTAGGTAGGGTATTGAAATAAGTAATATCTTATTTTAGGAAGATTTCGATAAATGCGATTTGCTCATCGTCATGGGAACGTCTCTGAAAGTTCAACCTTTTGCATCTCTGGTTGACTCTGTACCTGACACTACACCAAGGTTATTGATAAATAGGGAGAAGAGTGGAAGCGGAGATGTCATGTTGATGATGATATTCGGTGGTGGAATGAGATTTGATGATGAAGATAATTACAGGTTTGATCCCTGCTTAGCTGCTTTTTTACCCTTGTCTTCATACTTATTCTTTAATTTAAATTTTTCAAACATTCAGAGATGTTTTCTGGGAAGGTAATTGTGATGATGGTTGTCGTGCATTGTGCTCTCTCCTGGGATGGTTGAAAGAATTAGATGAACTTGTTGAAACTGAACACAAGAAAATTGATGAAGCTAAATCGAAAATGTGAATTCTTGCAAAAAAAATAGTCCATAATTTTTCATTCGCCAATTCTAAGATTTCATATTGTCCTGTATCTCCCAAACATTTTTTACTAAAGTAGGAATCATGATTTTATGTTTGTAATCTAGATAACCTATCGTGCCTATTTATAATGTAAGAGGTCAGTAATTTATTTAGACCTCATAATCAGCATAATAAATAATATAAATGATAAAAACAAGAATAAAAACATAATTATGGAGGTCGTCAAACTAAACCTATGATTAAGTTCAAAACTAGCAATATTTTTGAAGATGATCATGTGATGGATGGTCACACGTTTGTTCAATCACAGTTTTGTCTTCTACTGATAGATATTTTTGCAATATGCCCACAACCTTTCCATATGCAAACTTAATGTTAGTGTTTAATATCAAGTAAAACAGAAAAATAAATTTTACAATCACTGTGAAAGCCAAGATTTTCTTTTAAGTTTTTATCTGATTTCCTGAAAAATTGGGCTCCGTTTTTAATTTGTGCCCAATGTTTTAAGCAACTGAATTTGTTTTTATGTTTCGCACATGGTGTTCCAGTGAACAGCACTTTAGCCCAAGTTAATATTATAAGTTATTTAGATATACTTCTAAAATATATAATAAAATCATTGCCTTGTCAGCCAATCCTTTCAATTGTTTGTTCTGGAAGTTTTGATGCATTGCTAATCCATGATCAATCCATAATTAGTCTCCCAGAAAATTTTTTGGCTTGATGGAAATTAATTTTTCTGCTGATTTGCTATTTTTCAAGTTATTATTCTATTTTTCACATTTCAAGCAAGATTTAAATATACCAGAGATAATTTTTAGCTGTATGATATGCTTTTATGTGTGGATTTTAACTCCGTAGTATTATGTACTACAATCTGTTTCCTGTTTGGTAAAGTTAAAACTGTAAATAACTAATTTTTGTTTTAAAATTTCTGCATTTTATATAAAACTTGAAAGTGTTATGCAATATTACTTTGTAATCTTATTAGTAAACCAGTAAGCCAAATACATAAATATGTCGTCTGTAGTGACAATCCAGCATTGGGACCACCAATGGAAAGCACTCAACTGTGGTTGGATTATAGTGTCATGGAAATTATTGGTCGAGTGGCGTCCAGCGATGAACTAATTTCGCTGTACGTTATCATTGAGTCTCTTTGTTTTCTCGCGTCTCTCTCTTGCTGGTAGTCCTAAACCGGCATTCACACAAGAGCTGTCGCATCCATTTTCATAAAGTTAAAACCATCGAGGGTTTCCGTTGTATTGCGGTATCGTTGACCGGTAGCTCAGCTCTGCAAGTGCTGGATTACGATTCGCTGTAACGCGGATTTTGCAGATCTTGCGATGCTTTTGTTTAGTCTGAATAGTTAAGGTATTTCACAAATATCGCGCTGTTACTTCACAAGCTATTCAAACTTTATCTACTTAATGTCGAAAATAGTTTTCTTCCTATATTACGAAAATTGTACGAAATTATTCGTTCTAATCGCACTGCTCCAGATTTGACGTGTTCCATAGTCTCGTTGTATATCTGGGCAACTCGCGCCCAGCATCGCTCTCGTTTTTGGACACGTTTAGTGGACATAACTATCGTTTCAATATTATGTTGTTATTGTTAATTGTCTCCATCATTTTTAAAAAATCGCTTTTCTCTTCGAATACTGGACCAATTGCTTTGAAATTTTCAGTGGTTAAAGATAAAATTTTTCTCCAGAAGGCTATTACTTTTTCGCCAAGACGTCATCAAAATTATTGCCATTGGGTGGCGCTTTGTGTCCATATATTTGAGCATAGCTCTCTTGTTTTTTATATGTATGCAGGATAAAAGTTTTAATTTATACAAAGCTATTCCTACTCAACAAAATCAAACGAGCTCTTCGCCGATATTTGGTTTGATTCATTTCATTCCGTTTAACGACGGCAAATGACAATAAAACCTCGTTTACTTCAAAGGTTGGTCTCTATGTCTGTAAATGTTCACCTGTGCAAATACCCATGGGTGCTAAATGCGAGTGCAAAATACTATTGGTGCAATGGTTTGTAAGTGCAAATTGCCCGTGGATGCAAATGACCTATACCTAATACAACGCGAAATTACAATCATGTATATTTGTTAAAATGATATAATTTAATACCCCTGTATGTAATTAGTAATTAAGTAACCTACGGCTACGGGTCAAGTACATACGAGAGAGATCATGGCTACGTCTGCTGCGTACAACGACGTCATATTAGTGCTGTTCATTTGAAAATATTGATGTTATTTTCACATCGCTTTGCTTGTATCTTAGAGCCGAACGAAACGTGTGAAGGGGAAGATTTTGTTCTCGAGGAATGTGCGAATATGTGCATGGAACATTAAAAAACCCGTAATCGATAATTTTTTCACTTCGTCAACACGTTAATTCGTATGATATGGTGAGAGTATCGACGTTTGACAACTTTTTTTTCGTTTTTTCTAAGCATATATGCACTTACAAAATTTAAACACAAAAACACAGGCTTGTAGTATACTTGTATATGGCGTTCGGAATGTTTTAATTTGAAAGCACTTTTAATATAATAAAATAACTCGAGCATTAAGATATTTCTATAAATATTCGGAGTTTTATATCAGTAGTTTTGTAAAACTGATTTTATGAAACCACAACTGGATAACACTGGAAACGAAACTGGAGATGCTATTCAAAGTGTGACGCTACTTGCACATGTCTTTCTAAATAAAACAACTGTAGGCTACTAGAAAAATTGTGCACGTCACGAAAATATTGAGGAAAACATTAAATTCTTACAGTAACTTGTGACTTAGTACAGTTGTGAATAAACTTTTGTGAAGTGAAAGCTGTTTACTAAAACATCATATTATACGCATCGCAAAAAAATACAGCCATGAACAAGTGAGAGTTTTTTAGGGTTCATTTACCCGTTTAGTTTACATTATTTTGCTTCGTTAGATCCTCAGACTTCAATATGCTATGAAAACCACTTTTCACTCAACTGTTTAAAATTTCTGCAAACCCCATTTCGGTACGTGTGTCCGATAATATAAAATTTATCATGCCTAAATTTGTTGCCATAATGTTTTTAGTATTTTGTTTACTGCTCTCTGCGTGCTTTCGTAGGTTTGAATCACGTGGGCGATGTCACACGCGAAAGGATTGCTGGACTCGTCTTCGCAGTAAGGTACGGTAGTTTGCGTATCCCAGTGGTCGGGAAATCTGTAGTAATCTGGCCTGAAAATATTCACGATGTTTGGAAGTACATATTTGTGCGAACAATTATTTTTGAAAATGAACATTACAAAGAACAAGCAAAGAACTAGGATTAGTGATGCCCATTTAGAAAATCTTCCAATCTTGGCGTCGGGAAAAAAATTAATTTTGTTTTCATTATTTTAATGTGAAACGGGATGAATTTAGGGAGTTAAATGCTATAAGGCAAAAGATATGGCCTCTGATATGATAAAAAAGGGCTTTCAGCCGTGACACTATTGCTATCAAAACAACTAAATCACCTTTCCATCAGTAAACGGGGTAATTTTAGATATAATAAAATAACTCGCTGAAGAACACCAAGCTCATCCATCTCATTAAAAAACACTATAAACTATGATTTGTCTCCATATTTGGTCTGTAATATATTCGTTTCAGACTTTTTTTTTGCAGTGCGGGGAGCGATGAAGTTGTATAAAGTACTGTAGGGGGGCGATTGTACAAAAAGTTTGGGAACCACTGGTCTAGACCGCGAGCCGTGCGGCCCGCAGAACAATTTTAGCCTGCACCAAACCATTGGCAGATATTTGTATTTATTGGCAGAACATTTTTGAGTTACTTTTAAACTATATGTCGGGATTTAAACTACATGTCGGGATTGATGTTTGTTAAAATCACGGAATTTCGATGCTGTGTCCATAAACGTCAAGACGGTGCCAATATGAGAATGACGTCCTATGATCGGTACAAGGAGAATGGATTGTCTTGTGCAGACAGGACCAAGCCGATGATATGAGTCGCGCTTTTTATCTAACTTCGTACCTTAAACTCGCGTCAAGTAGGCCTAACTCCCCATTTAGAGAGACGTTCTGTGCTTTCATTTTAGTAAATAAAAAACACTTTTCTATTTTCAAGCGTTGGCCATGTGACAGCAGTGACGAACCGCACAGCTGACTCCCAACTTAGACGGACTTTGCTTCTCCTTGACGATATCACCAGGCCTGCTCAGGCTACAAGAAATAAAATTAGTCAAATATAACAATTTATCATACAATGGGTGTAAAAAAGGGTGACCGAGGTAAACTGGAAGGAAACGTATTTCCTTTCCCACAACAACGTTAAACCACAGTGTATGGTGTGTTTTCCAGTAATATCTGTCACGGAAGAATATAACTTTAAGCGACATTATAAAATTAAATACGAAAAAGATACCGAAAATAACACTATCGTATTTCTCGGGAAGCAGTTTTAAAATAACCAAAGGCTCTTACATCTTCCATAAAAAATTGATCAGAACGATAAACTCGCATTCTTAAATATATTTAAAGTGAGTAAACTCGCGATGTTTTGATCATTGTTGGGTTTTCTCCGACTGCGGCCCGCGAGACTTCCTCAAAAGTTTTTGCGGCCCGCCAACCTCGCAACCTTGGACCAGCCTGCGTTAGATAATAGTTTTTAACCTTAACTGTTATTATATCACTGTGTCTTTGTAGACATGATTGAATTGTGATGTAGCAATATCCAAACAAAGCTATATATTTATATATTGAATATTGCTTTATAAACCAAATAATCAGTTGTAATCTGTGATAAAAATAACAATCACAAATGCTTCAATTCTATTATCCATATGTTCGATGCAAACTATCATTTAAAAATGTTACATTTGCAAATTCAGCTGGTTTTACTTGTCGTGATCTATCACGTATATGAAGCAAATTCTCAACTTTTGTTGTCAAGTATACATTCAAGTACAGAGAATTACTGTCTGCCAAGTTAGTTATGCATATAGATTGCAGGTTAAATGTAATACAATAAATGTAAGTTTAAGACCAGTATATATGTACAAAAGAAAATACTTTAAACCTACTGATAGATATGCAAATCCAAGAATATCTGATACATAGAATTTTGACTTGGGAGGTAGAAGTATGCAATGCTCGTTGTGCTTCAGACAATACCTATTTCACACATGTTATACAGGTTCTTGAGAATTCGTCGGTGGGAAGTACCTAATATGCCCGCGAGTCATTTTTTACTATATCGAGAAAGGTTTTCATGCGGGTATGAGGTAACACAGTGAAAAAAAGTATTGCACATAAATTCTGAAATAATACGGATATTTTTTTAAACTAAAATTTTCAATATTATTTATGGTAGTGATTCACATTCTCTCGTTTCTCGTTCTTCACTGTTGATCCACGTTCAGCTTAAAAGGGCAACCTCGTACCCCGACTTTTTGCTTTTACGATTCAAGTATGGTTTCGAGAAGGCTCTCGATTGTTTGTCTGTGTTGTATCCTTCGTAATGTACATCTCAGCAAAGCACAATCTGGTCAGGGTAAAGGGCAATTTACATGTTAACTTGATCAAAATGTTAGCATTGTAGGTGTACATAAACTATTGCATTGATTTAGAATTTTAGATACTTTCTGATATCAATTATATATTATCTATTAATTGTTGTATCATACGTTTTTATTACGAAAAAGTTCAAACTACCTCCATTCGGTGTGAAAATTACAGTTTATTTTAGCGGCTATAGCATTGATTTCCAATCAAAATTCCCGATATATCATTCGTGACTAGAAGATTGCCAAATTCAGTTCTAAGTAATACGTGAAAGTTGTATTCACGTTCTTGGAATTTAGTCAGGTATGCTCGAAAGAAAAAAAAACGGTTTTATAATTACCGTATTACACTATTTTGGCTGGTTTACTTCCCATGTTATATCAAATGCTTCAATTTCAATCAATTCTTAGTTTATCTCTTTATAACTTTATTGTACGGTGGCAGACTGAAAAGGTGTGAGAAACTTGATGTTAAATTGTCTGGTTTCGTATATCAAAAATGTATCTTTTTCACACAGTCATTCAATCTTAATCTTATTATACAAATTCGTTACGTGTTTGGTTTTATGTCAGCAAATGGCATTATTTATTCTTACATAAACGAGCTCGCATTAATAAATTTTGGGCCATATTATAATAAAGGAACTAAACATATATATATTTTACCTATATTCCAGAATCCAACAAAGAGATTGTTTTTAAGCAGCGGTATGGAGTTTTTTTTATAATTTTCTTTTAATATAGTTGATACAGCCGCAGAGCGACTCACAGCTAGCCTGGACTGCCATTTGTTTTTCGGTTTTCATTCCTCAAAAGAGTGGTGTTCCTATTTACTTTTTTAGCGATAATCAAAACTCACGCCTTTCGGGCATTGGGTTTCTAAACTCTCGGATTGTATTTTTTATGATTATGCTTTGCACAGTAACCCATTTTGGGATATCCGTAACAACTGCCACTCCAATAAGAAGCTGGCAAAAATTATACCAAAAGGATCAGTTTTGAGATTCTAAGATATCTCACTAAATGTTGAAATGTATAGCATGTCAAAAAGTTTTGATCTAGTTTGTCATATCTTATATCAAGTCTCAAATACTGCTTGTAAAAAGGTATTTCACTATTTTAAATACCTGATCTAGTGCTCGATGCATGAAAAAGGACAGAAAACATTTGAGTGTATTCTAACAATCCTGATATATTTTATAGTTTATCATTTGAGGTAAAAGTCAAACAGAAGCAGGTGATATTGCCAAAAGGAAATACTTTGAAATTAGAATGCGAATATCCTTCTGAACTTCAGTCAACGTCTTATATACAATGGTGAATATATTATTATCGAGAATGGAAATTAAAACTAAGTAACCTATATAACTTGTATAAAAAAAGAAGACTAAAAAACATATTAGCTTCTGGCACCTCATCAAATCATTTGAACTATCCCAAAATATATTTACGTCTTGTCGTTGAATATATACACTTTTTTATTTTTTTGTTTAAATCTGTCAACGTGTGCAACAAACGAATCTCAAGGTATTGCAATTAGCGTCATAGAGTTTGATGTTATCTCTAAAATAATGAGTTAAACTGAGTTTTTATTGATACTCTCTTAAAAAATTCCTGGTAAGAAAAATGTTAGCTTGTGGTTCAACGTCCATGTGGTCGTTGTTGGAAGCGAGCCGCAGTCCAGATGAACAAAATGTCGGCTACCATTTTTCACAAGAACTCGTGCTCGCTTTTTCACACTGGGCTCTTGACAAAAGAATGATGATACCGAAAGTTGAATTTATATTGAAATGTTTAAATTTTGTTCATTTTTTCGATATCATGGTTTAATTGAACGTGACATATTTAGGATAAAATTATACAAAGAAGACCAGCAAATCAAGCACGAGGTGGTTTCACCTGACTCCGTCGTCAACGAGGGCATGACAGTAATCTCATCCATTATTTTACCGCATGTCACCAAGGAAGACGCAGCTGATTACAGTTGCGTTTCAACAAGCTCAGCGGGAACATCTTCTTTACAATTTAACGTAGCGGTCAAAGGTCATATGACATAGTTTTCCGCACTTTTCCGGGCACTCAGTATACGTAACCCATGATAAATAATTAAATATATACTGAAAGTGTTGCCAAAATACGCATATAAAATATTCATGAGATTTTTTTATTTCTTCAATTTTTTTGCTTTCACAATTGAAAAATAATTGACTTTGAAAATATTTGTATTTTATTGAGATATATATATGAATTCTAAAATATAGAATATGGTCATTACATTTGTATTACAGAAAATGCACTCTGCAATAATATGAAATCCGGACCGAACGGGCAATGCATAGAATTGGAAGATGTAAGAAGAGTAAGTAGGCTTCAAAACTAGTCTTAATCAAATTATTATTGTAAATTTTTGAGAATATTTCTAAATAATAATTGTTTAAACTGGCATGATTCAGTTACAACTGCAAATGTGAGAACGGATACACTGGAAAGAATTGCGATGCAGAAGATCAGTGCTTTATAAACCCATGTCTTAATACCGGATCATGTACCACCACAAATAATGGTTTCAATTGTACGTGCGCTGAAGGTAAGTTATTCCACGAAGTCATTTCTAGAACAATGTCACGGTCACGGCTCGACCTGTAGGATAAGAGCACGAACTCAATATTAAACACATTTTACCAAAATCACTTTTCTCGAATTTATCTCACAATTGACTATTTAACCTCATGTCGAAAAGATGTTAACTTTTAAACTGTAATACGCAAGCTCAAAATATCGGTAGCCTGTCTGCCTGATTACACGTCCATCAAACCGGTCCAATGAGACTGTTTGATTAAGAAAAATCGAATAAATTGAACTTGCTACTGCATAGCCAACTATATATTGTCAAATGTACAGGATTCAAAGGTAAAATTTGCGAACGTGAAGCTTGCATGCCATCAAGTTGCCATGGCGGAGGGAATTGTTCACAGACTACTGATGGAGAAATTGTATGCGACTGCAGATTCAATCGTGCTGGGAAATACTGTGAATATACTTGTACATTCGATATCGAAAAAATAAGTAAACAGTGACGCTTTCTTATGCTACGTTTGATAGGTATCCATGTAACGGAATTTCGAGTACAACACGCCACAATCATCTGTGGTTTATGGGACACTCAGCATTCAAGCATTCCCCCTGACAGAAATAAAACAATTTGATATACCATCCGGCCCTAAAACCCGACTTTTCACAGTTTAGTGGTCGTTCATGTTCGCGAGCAGAAATATGCGTGATTGGAAACGACGGAGAAGAGACATGCAGATGCGAGGATCACGTCTCAGGCAGCCATTGCATGATGTCAACAGGTATCGAATTTTGACTCGAATTCTCAATGTGGAAACACAAAAACATATATATATATAAATAGCCAAGACTTCTTATCGCAACTATTTTTGGGAAATTACTTAATAGCTTTGTTTTAACTTACATTTCATCAAAATATTGAAATTACTTGCCTAAATGAGCGTCAGTTGAAATCATGTTATACAAACTGATACAGAATTAAATTCACGAAAGGTGATGCAAAAGTTTTAAACCTCCCTATTAATACGTTCTGATCCTTGTTTTTTATCTAACTTTCAACACCGATAGCGAGGGTTTAAGTATCGTTTTAAACTTCCTCTAGATGTCAAGAACGAATGCGAACAACCAAATATATGTAACAACCGTGGAAAATGTCTTGAACGGACGTACGGTTACAACTGCCGATGCAATTCCTATTCATCCGGAAAAAACTGCGAAATATTAGACGAGTGCATACGGAGCTATGATAATGTATAAGCTTTAGTTGTTTCTAAATCCAAGCTAGTTATGATGGCCTCGCAATATTTAGCTTTTAGGCACTCGGACATAGTTGCTTTAAGAGTTTGAGGAATGCCGTCAGACCAGTGATTCCCCTACACAATATAGGGGGTCAACACCCCCCTAAAATTTCAGCCCTCTATTAGGAAAGCTTAAAGATGTCCCAAAACGAAAACTAGGCACTAAAAACAGACATTTTTTAGATGAATGGCTGCGTTTTTATTCATTTATTGGAAAGAATCAAACTTCAGCGATTGTCTTCCTTGCCAACAAAATATTTCAGTTCTGAAGGAATACAACATTATGCACCATTATGATCAGTTGACGCGCGTATTTCAAAATTTAATTTATACAAAAGTCAAACGAACATGTTCAAAAAAATGTGTAATGTGTAACAAAACAAGCCATAAGTAGCCATTCATACGATGCCATATGCTAGATGAGCAAGTAACTTCATTAGTCACTATCAGTTGCAAATTACTTGCTGAAAGCCATGCTTGTTATTATTTCTCTGGAATTCTACCAGCTAAATATTATAATTATTAATTTCATTACATAACAAACTGCGATGATAGGTGTATCTAAAATCAAGCTTAGAGCCTATTTCTCAAAATTTTCTCATGGCGCTTAAGCGCGCCCAGAACCCCAGCCGTGTCGTCGCGCACTTATCCTCGCTCCCGTTTTCTGGCCCTATACAATTTTATTCTGTTATGTATTTTGGCTCGCCGTCAATCAACTCGCGGGACCCCTCATGTACATCGTTTCTTAAATACATAACAATTTTTGAAGAATACAAATAGTTTTATCGTTGATAGCAAATTATTTACCACCCCCTAAATTTCGAAACACCCTACCTAAAATGTAAAGCTGGGGAACATACTGGTTTCAATGTCATTTCAGTAACCTAGCAGTTTGCAGCTTGTGTTTTGACTCGTATTTTTTGAGATGCGTACTCATGCTGACTTTTTTTGTATATACTTCAGTCAAACCTAATGTTATGTTTCTTTCTCGTTTAAGTCAAATTAGCTAGCTAACGTACGCATTGACCTATTCTCATATTAAAACTGTTCTTGTAATTACTTTCTTCAAGACATGTCACGAATACGGTGGCAGATGCGTCGATTTGCCAAAAGGTTACAAATGCATTAATTGCCCACAAGGACAAACCGGGGACAAATATCAATACAAAAAAGGTGAGTTTAGCTATTTCACAGAATTCTGTCATATTATTTAGTTGTCATGTCTGAAAAAAGTATGTATCGAAACAAATCTTTTTATTTTATTCAGATCCATGCAGTGTCAGTTGTTATGATGCAACCATGGAAGTGAGTTGTGACATGAGATTCTTAAGCTCCAAACTAAAGCAAATTCCGATTTATCTCAACATCAAAAATAACGATTGCAAATTATATAACTATGGCAGGACGGCTACCAAACAATTCTCATATAATGATTGTGGAACAAAGATGCAGGTTGGTAAAAATTGAAATAATTGTAAAATCTATAGAAGTCATATTCGTTTGCCATCGATTCTCAAAGCAGCTAGCTACCCAAGACGTGCAATAACAACCAAATGCGTTCTGTTATGTTACGACTACTTTTTTAATATATATCAAATGTGTTTAAATAAACAACATTGCCAAAACTTTTACAAGCGTAAGTATTCCATAGAAGCCATGAGTATTACAAGACAACAATGTTATCACAAATGAAAGAACCGTTAAATTTAGTATTTGAAACATTATGCACAGCAATTTTGTGATTGTCCCGGTGGTGATTATAGCGACCATCTCATTTTGCATGCCTGGTTGGAGAAGTTATGAATTTACACACTTGGAATAATTTAGAGGTATGTAAAACGGGTAGTTGCATGCAGTTAAATATGAATACATATATCAAGTGTGGCATAAGAAAGCGTCAGTGTTTACTTACTGAGTCAGTAATATTTCCCAGCACGATTGAATCGGCAGTCGCATACAACTTTTCCATTAGTAGTCTATGAAAAATTCCCTCGGCCGTGGCAACTTGATGACATACAGGCTTCACGTTCGCAGGTTTTACCTTTGAATCCTGTAAAGGAGATAATTTTCTTATTGTTGGTCACAAAAGGTGCATCTCATCATTTATCTGCAACTATCTTACCAATTGTGTTTTTGCAGAATGGAAACGATAGCATCATTTATCGTAACACGATACTTGCTGTTTATTTAAAGATGAAGGGAAAGAAAATAGCATCATTACTCGTCTGTCAGGATATTTTCGGGTATGTATAATAAAAATATACAGGGTGTCTCAAAAGTAAGTATACACTTTTAAATTTGGTTTACTTTTCGGGTACTCATCATAGAGCGTTCATTTATACAGAAAAAATAATATGGATAAGTAGTAAAATTTAGGCATTGTTTGCATTTTTATCAATCCACAGAATGGCAGGGAGATTAAACTAAAAATGAGGTGCGGTTAGGCAAGAAGCTGGCATACTCAGCGCCTCTTTAACAGAGAATTCGAAATTAAATCGGCTCTGAATGTTTTCCTCAAAGCGTCCGCTCCTTGGTTTTCCTGATCTTTGTTAATCAACTACAGATCCAGTTTTTATAAATTTACGATGAATTGTTCGTCGTGTAGGAACCAAATTACTTCAAAATTATCTGTTAAAAAGGCGTTGAGTTTGCCAGCTTCTTGCCAAACCTCAATTTTGCACCTCATTTTTGGTTTATTCTTCTTGCCATTTTGTGGGTTGATAAATGAAATGCAAACAAAACCTAAATTTTACTACTCATCTATACTGCGTTTTCTGAAGAAATGAACGCTCTTTGATGAGTACCCGAAAAGTAAATCAAAATTAAAAATGTATACTTACTTTTGAGACACCCTGTATATATATCAAATAAAACACAAGACAAGTTTCAACTTCAATAAACTATCCTAAAGCAAAATATTTAACACAATTTCAATATTATAATATTGTTTTATTCTCCAAGTTTCACGTGGAATGCAGAGTGCCGACCTCGTTCAACTACACTTCAGATGATATCACTGATATATCACTGAGTATGAACGAGACGATGGATATTGAGAAATTGGTGAAAGGAAAAACAAAATCGTTGAAGGTCAAAGTTGAATTCAGAAAGTAGGTTATCCAAAACATCCTATACCTGTTCATGTATTGCGTCAAGATATACAATAAACAAATTTTCATAATAGAATCAGCAATGATTATACTTGGCCAAATAGAAATAATGCAATATTTATATGCGACTAGGTTCAGTATTCATTTCTTGTTGTACCACTAATACCATTTTCATTTATTAACAGTTCCAATTGGAATTCTTTACACAGTTATATGGTCGGAGAACGTCTGTATGTTGAAGTAAGTGTCATGTTATTAAAACGAACATATTACTATAAACGATATTGAAACATATACGTTGGCCATATTAACCACCTTAAAAACTGTAGTATCCCATTTAAAATGTATTTGAAATTTTCTAATGCTTCCAACTCACTTCTGTGTTCGTGGAACAAAAAGTATTATTCACATTTATTTGGAATATAGTCTCCCTTTTTCGCATCGAAGTTATCTGGGGAGAACTTCAGGAATATGAAAATCCGAGTCTAAATACGTCAAATTTAAAATAGCAAAGTTGAGATCTAGCTATCTTTTCTAAAAATCGAAATTCAGCTTGACATAACATATTTTTGTATAAAAAATTTCAATACAAATTAAAGAATACTATTGTTTTTTTTTCATATCGATGACCTTTGATCTTTGTATTTAATTTGATGAAGAATCCGTAATGACTTTGATATTGTTTTAACAGATATCGCTAGAACGAGAAACTTCAAATGAAATATTGTCAAAATATGGATTTCTTAAACCGGTTACTTGTTATGCAACTCCTAATAAAGAAAGTTTTGGCCCTCGATATTACATACTTGAAAACGGGCAAGTAACTTATGACATATGTGGAGCATATTTCATTATTATTAAAAATTATGCAAAAAACAACAAAATACAAATTGAGCATTAAGATCAACTATAAATATTACCATTTAAAAAATTCGTTCTCAACGGATTTTCAGAATATGCATTTTTTGACAAAATAACACATGCATCCAACTGCTCTTCTACCTCAAATATTTGACAATTGTACTCAAAGCTCGGCGGTGTGGCGCATCGTGCTAAGCGTTACGAATACGCTCGACACCGCACCTCGATTACCCTTACCCAATTGGACCAGTAATCAAAGAGAAAAGCGACTTTTTTCATAACGTGTCAAAGAACAAGGATAAGAACAACAACATAATATTGAAACGATCGTTATGTCCACTGACGTGTCCAATAACTGTCTAACCAATCTCATACCGACGTGGACTGGTAACCGAACGAGAGGCCATGGTTCGCCATATTATTAGGCCGTCATATCGGCTTTACTCTCCTCTGGGATAAATATGGGTTATCCTATAATCCTAAATCAGAGAAAAGTACGAGTGACGATAAGTAAAATGAAACGTAGTTTTCTATTCTTTCTAAAATATTTATTTCGTCTTTCATTGAATGAGTGAACCTCTGTACCATGGCAGCAAAAAGGCTTTGACGGTTTTCTATTAAAATGACAATACGATTTCAAAACAATCCTTACATTATCATTTCAGTTGCGTGAGAGACGAGACATTTCGATACGAAATTAGGAAAACCCACAGTTGGCAATCCGCTGCATATGAGCGTCAAGCATACTTTAGCTTTGAATCTTTTTCTTTTAAAGAACGATCTGGTAAAGTAAGTATACCATAGTAAAAACAAAACATACGTAAATGTGAAATAGTCAAACTGTTTAAAAAATTATGATCATAATATGGACCATCTCAATATTACAGCTGTATTTGCACTGTAGTGCTCGATTCTGCATCAACCAGACAAGTGGAAATAAATTTGATTTTAACGGATGCGAGAATATGTGCGAGGAGAATAAAGTACTGTATCATTTTTATTTATCTTACCGGTTTTTCCGACAGTTATTTTACATAGTTACTCATCATTTATGATGAATATTTCTTTAATACGAAATATTCAAAACGTTTCATTTATGAGCTCTTGAATCCGGTACACAAATAAGTTAAGCGGTCCTTCAAAATCCACTAGATTAATTTATTTAAAGGCATTGTGGCAATTTATGAACATATTTGTAGAGCAGTCATTTATGCTAGGAAATGCGACATGAGTCGTCGAAAATCTAGTTGATTCGATTGGTTTGTATTCATCTCTGAGTATATAAAGCTGAGTAGAATACAAACTAATAGAACATAAATTGATACATTATCTTCTGACTCTTGAACAGCGTATAACTGGAACATTAAAAAGACCAGACCTGGTTTGTATTGGTATAAGCATGCAATACTCATTCGTGGAGTGTTCTCAGTTTGAATTGAACAACTTGAGTCATCAACGATTTGAGCACACTGATATAAATACATTTCTCTTGCTGAAATGTGTTCTTGTTGAAAAATTTTTATCATAATGTCCACGAAAACGTACAGGAAACCACGGCAATGACGACAACAACGAGAAGAGCAATAATGACAACTACAAGTGTAAACAGTGTTTTGTCAAGAATGAAGAGGGCTGCTATCAATTTGGGGATATACAGTGAAGAGAAGAAATTCATTGAGCGTAGTACTGAAAAGGTAGTTCATCTCGATGAAGAGTAAACCGAATGGAAAAAAGAAATCTGACTTCAACGATCTTCGTCCACGTATCGAACAATTGCAGCGTTATATTGTCCAATACTTTTTTTGATCAATATTTTATTATAACAATCATAAATAAATGAATAATAAACGAGTTCTCAGTAGTTTTCATACTTTCTAATTTAAAGATGTTAGGCATTTTTGATATGAATTCAAAATACAGAGTACAAAATGTTACATGCAAGCACGCGGAAACATAGGCACACAGGCAAACGCCTGTATGCGGGAAATGATATAGTGAATACGGTGGTGGGATTCAAAAGTTCAAGAGTAGGTTCTTTTTTGTATCGAACTCACTAACAACAGGTTCCCTCATTTCCGAAAATACATGTATGTCACAACGTGAGCTCCATTAACATGACATGCTTCCTCACATAAATCTAATAGGCTACATAACTTTCGAAACGTCGAATATACCACTGGTCGTCAGCAGCGTTCATTACCCATTTGTTGCGCTCGTCTTATCTTTAACTTTTAGAACGGTGTCGCGTGAAACTCCTGAAACCCATCACTGGTTGAATAGGTGGATTTTTGTGCAATCACATATATAAATCGTTTATGATTATTCTGAATCGTGCAATTTTAATTGCGGCTGTGTGTTGCTGTTTTCATTAATTATTCGCATTCAAAATGACGTTGTTCATGATTCAGTCCGGGCATACTTTAGATTTTACTCCAATGAACATCAATCCAAGCTGTAATTTCAGTGTTTGGGTAAATCCACAGAAATGTATTTGGGTAAATTTCAAAAATCAGGTTACTGTTAAGGGGGCGTAACAAATAGCGCTATATTGTAGTTTTTGAATTGATAATGAATGGCGATTTTTGATTAGTCTTCGATATGCTTGTAGACACCGAGAAATAAAAAAAAAACAAGGTCAGTATACATGTCTTGAATTGATAATGAATGGCGATTTTTGATTAGTCTTCGATATGCTTGTAAACACCGAGAAATGAAAAAAAAAACAAGGTCAGTATACATGTCCTAACCTATCAGTGGTATGACGAAGTTATATTGGTCAGTGAGGTACTGAACAGGAGGTTTTTAATACTGAAAAATTGTTTTCGTTAAATCCTATCCATGTCTGGAAATACATGTAGCTTATATTTAGGTATGTATAAAAGTCTATATCATTGACAAACATCTGACTTTTTCGTCATAATAATGAGTCAAAGTAGAAGCCAAACGCGGTGAATTTTGCCTAGATAAAAGACCATACCACCTCTGGTGAAACAGGAAGCATGAATGTCGTCATAACTTGTTTCGTCACATTAATGAAAGTTGATGTGTGTTCAATGGAATGCATACATGCCTGCCAGTCATTGTGATTCATTGACGTCTGGTATATGTACTGATTGATCTCAGGGTTTTCACTTCACAGGTATCTGAAACTAAAATTAGTTCACTGATTATTGTCAAAGATATGTCGGAATAATCTGTGAGCTCCAACGATAAGCAAAGAATAAACAGAAGGGAGATAATGTTGAGAACGAATGTTTTTTATATAGATTCAGAAATCAGATAATGTCAATACATAAATAAACAGTAATGTAGGCGAACTTGTCATTTATTACCTTACTTTATTTATTTTTTCCTGTTAAAGAGCTTCTATTGGAAAAATAGCTCGTACAATGATGATTATATTTTTATTACTTAAGCTTAGAGATATTCAATTGATAATTTTGAGCACCACAGTATATAGAGTCTGAGAAGTCGTCTTAGTATAGATATTTGGTAATATAAAATACGGCACTTTCTTCGTATTTGCGTTCCGACAGCAGGGAAATATTGATTGGCAAACGCAATCTTATTGAAAAACAATATATATATATAACAAATATCTAAGTCATTTTTGTCAAAAAATACACGTAAACTGTTATCTTGTTGGTTATATATCTAAATTAAAAATCGATGCGAATTATTAACAGTAAGTGTTTTGCAGATATCTTACTGATTCTAGTTACACGAAACTATATTCAAACAAACCAGGAAACAATCGGACTGTTATATTATTAACCTCCTGTATATGAACCAACATGTTCACATTATTAGGTAAACATCCGATACATAGCCGGTTGAAGAGACTCACAACGTCGAACTGAATAGTGGCGTAATAAGTCTACAGTCCCCCGCAATGATTACTTCTTATTATTTCCTTTAATCGAAAAGACCAATAATATAGTAAATTCTTGTGTATGAAATAATCTGATCCATTCAAGAAGTATATTATGTTAGAAACTGCTTTATGGTGTGGATTAGTGTTTGTACATCAAGGATTCGCCACTGATATAAAATACAGCATAACAATTCTAGTCATTATAAAAGTGGATTTAGCCATGTTGCTGATATTTTTGAAATACAGAGGGCACTAATAGTACTGTGTTTCATTAAGTTATGTCTCGTTTTGTCTAACATCCGTAGACTATGATCCAACGAAAGCTTACTAATGCAATTGCTATTTCATAGAAAGAGATTGTGCTATTCCTATTTATTTTTGAAATGATTGGAATTATTTAGAGCTAGGAATGAATTTTCGGCAATTTCAATGCATTAATTTCAACCAGGTATATTTACGATATTAATTTAAAAACAATATTCCACTACTAAAATAATATTTACGTTGGCATTGGCACGTATTATGAATATATATATATTATTTTTGAAGTCTACGCACCATATGTGTTTAGAGATCGTTCTGAAATGGCCACTGAATTAATCTATGGCTTAAATGCGATGCGTTTTCACATCATTATGTTATATAAATTAGCTTGTATTATATTGTTTTCTTTGTCTGCTATTGATTCGGAATCTGCATGTAACAAAACGTGCGTTGAGTGACGTGACAGTCTGAGTCATTTTCAGTATAGCTATAGTCTGTATCGATGTACGGTATGTTTTGATGGCACAGTTAGGATCGATCAAGAGATATTATATGGCATAAGCAACCATGTGGCATATTGAAGGTTGCCAAAACTAAATGTCATATGTAAACAGACACAGGGTAAATTACGCTAAAGTTGAATCATTATTCATTCAATATTCAAGTAGCTGAATGCAGAAATAGATTTATGAAAGTAAATTTTGTCGTATTTAAAAGTTTTCTGTATAGTGTACAGTACACATAAATCCACCAGAGTTGCTCTAGATGGCCAGAGAAAATACAAAAATTTGTAAGAATCCTAGATTTACTCAAGGGTGTTATTTACTATTGAATGGGAGTAACTTTTACGGTTCTGTCTGATATTATGAGTACGGATGTAGAAAGCCCCAGCCACTAATAAAAAAAATTGTGAGATTCGAGAAAAACAACCCCGCTACGGTTTGAAAAAGAATCAGTAATTAACCAATTAAGGTTAAAAATGATTTAAAAACTTGAATTTTCAGGGCAATCTGTATTCCTTATCCTAACCCTAACTGGATCATTACTATTTTCTTTGCATTTTGAGCGGTGGCGAGAGTGTTTTTGACGGGAACTTTCTGCAAAATATCCGTAATTACTAAGTCACTTAACGTTAAGAATTCACAGCTTCCCGATACGGAATATATACTTCACTCAATGCGTAATAACCAAGTTTTTCGCATGAGTTTAAAAGACTGTGAATCATATCGGAAATTAAAGGGAAATTGCTAACCAATGCAGAAGTTGAATAAATTAATCTTATCGTGTCTATCTAGCACTTTCAATTATCATTTATCATGTCATCGACGTTTTGTTGTACTTCATAACAATAAGCGCCGAGGTGACTGTGAAACATACTGCTACATTATAAGCAATGCAGACGCTGTCAACAGTATGAAAACGTACTTTCTTTATGAAACTCACTTTACCGCAGGTGTTTATTAAGTAAAGAACGCATGCTATTTTTGCAGCACAGTTTATCACATGCTGTCAAATTCAAGCAAAATATTGACAAACAACCTTTGAATTCAATGGCACACTACTATCAACAGTCTATAAGAGCAGTTAACCTACAATTGTTTATTCCAAAACAGCAGAAAAGGGAAATTCATTTGCTTAAATTGATTTGAATTACATTAGATTGTTAATCAATACGATCCATTCGTTCTTTGGCTTGATACCAGTACTGGCTACTCTTGATTGCCATTTCCGGTAAACGTTGTAGAAGTTCGTAGATGATGAAACCATCAAAACAAATAGGATTTTTCACACTAAAGTACTAAACGAATACGATCCTGGCAACTCAACAATGAACCCCTACGTACGGAGATCTTCATGTAAAATCAGCGGTGATTGAAGCTCAGTAAAATCCTCAAAACAGCTAAATATTACGCATTTAAATTGATGATGAATTTATGTATCCGTGGGTATATATCTGGTATTTGTTTGTAATAAGCCAGCGTCGTAAATTTGATTCTTTGTGTATAGCACTTATGTGCTGTAAAATGCATTGGTAGGTAGCACATCGCTGTATATAATGACATTTGATTTGTCATGCATTTTATTAGATATAATTTACACCTTGGTGAAAAAACCACCATTACTTTAATCAATATAGGATATTGCTGCGTATAGCAAAAAACGGATGCAGCAACCCGATAAATATTGGTTTGAGATATTTCCGTTTTTACCAATTGTTTGTGGAAAATTGATTTTTATTAACATCACTGTAAAACAGCGACCCTGCTGTATAATTGTATATATATATATTGCATGACTCTGTGAGTTGTGGAAATCTGTTAGAACACGCTAAAGTGCTGACTCTGTGTGCTGCCGCTATTTCACTACTCAGCATTTTCCTTTTTAAGCACGGACGCAACTGCCAATGACTTTAGCATTTCATGTGATATATGGTACTTTCATTGTATTAAATCACATGAATCTTAATTTTCTTAATTGAATACAAGCTACATTGCAAGTTGGTTGACTTTATAAGGTGCAGATAGATTATAGTCTCATTATACTTGAAACGTGTAACAGAATGGGAAATAGTGGGAGATAATTTATGTAGATTTTAAAGGTAAGTTCTCTCGTAAAAGTGAAATATTGCCGCTCTAATATCTTGAACTTAAGGTTAGAAACAGACATAGTTTTTCTGTATGGTAATCAAGGTTTAAAGCCCTATTTAATCTTTTTGTCTCAAATATCAAAGTAATTTCATTCGAACAAATTTCAAATAAAACTATTTTGTTCTATTCGGAGTTTAAAATACTCAAAATTGTACATTAAAAATTTAATTTTCGATGATATATTGCATAATAATATGATGATCACTACTTTTGACCAGAGAAAATAAAAATAAGGAAGATAAATAGAAGTAATTGTTGAGCATTAATCTTATGAGACTAGAGTCAAAAAGGATGAAGACTAGCTTTAAGTTGTAAATTGGGAGGAGGCTTGTCCCCCAATCACCAATTTTTTTATGAAATCTTTTGTTGCGTAAGAACTTTGCCAGGCTCCAGTGTAAATTAGTTCATAGTAGATGCATCGGACACCTGTACGCTGATGCACGGTTTTGCGTCGTTTCGAAAGTTGAATGAACTCTAATTAAAACATTAACATTCGTTTCCTGATGTGCCATTTACCTCAGTACTCATTTGCATTAATATATTCTAAAAATTAATAACTATGTAGGCTACTTGCATTTAGTATTGCCTCTCATTTTCAATGGCATGGTTTAATTGGCTCGAATAACCTATTGCTGTGCCATATTGTGAAGCACTGTCCCTTATTTTTTTTAATAGTATTGAAATGAGCATGAAATTCTTGACTTGTGACCAATATTAAGCCCGATATCACATAAGAGTGCATGGAATGTTACTGATAATTTATTATTATATAAATATTCCGTCCTGAGTGGCGTGACCCTACCCTTGCATTGAAAATTTTGTTACGTTAAAAGTAGCATTCAATAATAGCCATTTCATTCTATTCTGTTTTGACGTGTTTCTCTACCGTTGATTTTCAAAAATGAATACCTATATTTTGGAAACAAAATTTCATGCATTTTAGAGATAGGATGAATAGCATTGAAAACATTATTTTGTAACAGAATCATAATGTATATATTCATAGTTAGATTTTTGTCTAAATACATGGATTTATAGCATTTTCAAAAACTGTCATGCTGGCGGAACATATTCGCAGCGTGACGTTTGTTTTTAGAACAATCTTTCCAAGAAAAAGCTGGAAAGGATCAGCATTGAATTGCCATTAAGTTCACAAAATTCAAGCCCGCAATTTCGATTTTAGAAAAGTGATTCAACATAATAGAATCAACAGTTAACTTATTCTTTAATTTATCTAACAGAAGGTAGGCAGATTTAATCTTTGGTTTGATCTTTACTCGACGAGGCGCATGTTAAAGCAAGGGGAAGAAGATCTGTGGCATCATTACCTCAGGTGATATGGGATACGAAGCGAATGGATATAGAAAAAGTGTTGATAAAAATACTCCAATAAAAATGAACGGACGAATAAACTCTGGTGAAGTTCCACGTTCGAAAGTTGTTATAGTCGGTGATGGAGGAAGTGGGAAAACGTCTTTACTAATTGTTTTCACGCAGGGAGAGTTTCCAGAGGTTTGTCTAATAATTAATATACTAAACGTAATAAACTAACTTTAAATCCTTTGTATAATTTACCTGACTTGAGGTATTCGACAACATAGAGATATATGTGGCTTCGTGATCATTGTATTGTATGTCGTAAACATCAAAGTGATAGATACAAACGTAAAAGTTAGCTTTTGAATAGCTTTTTGAAACTGAGTACATTATTTTCGAATCCTTATATAATTTACAATTCTTGTTCACATAGAGAAGAGAGAAGATAATAGGATGGCTCTTAACTATATTCAAACCAATGGCCCTCGTCTAATAAACTGAAATATATGGATTTAAATGTATTTTAATATAAATGTAATCGTATTCATGGGCTTGGAATATGATGCACCCTTTAATGATTCTGATGTTTGTACATTTGTCAATGGTATAAGTTTTTGCTAAACCTGTGACGTATGAATTGTATCAAAATTTGTCATGCTTTGGCAGCATTATTTGAAAACTAATTATGCATTTTTAATGGAATAAAATATGACAAATCAGCAATTAGCTCGTTTTTTCTTCCTTGTTGTTGCATGAATATTTCAAAATAGTGGAAATATGAAAGTAATCTAAATGATGGTAACAATTTTGTCGATAGATCATGGACCTTGTTTAAACTGCGGCACTCCAATGATTGTTCGTGCCAGGTCGTGATAAAATAAATACTTTTACAAAATATTCAAAAAGTTTAACCGTGTTGATCCAATGCTTTAATAAAAAATTAATAGAAGCCCATAGATTGACATTTTAAAATACTCTTATGCAAGTAAATTTGCTTATTCATACGTTAAATGGAGCTTTGATTCATTAAAATTTGACTCGTACATTTTGATATTTTTCGTATAAAATATAATATATTCAATTTTCAAATCTATTACAAACAATTTTTAACTCATTCAAGAGTCATTTTAACCATTGAAATACAGCAGTGCTTTGTTTTACAAAGTTTCTGTTGGTAATTCAAGCTGGTTGACATTTTCTTGTTAAAAATATTTCTTTTAATGTACCTTTATCTGTTTCTGTGAACATTCATTTTCTCATCGTCTGGAAAAATGCCACATCTTTTACTATTGATCACTGTTAACCTATTCGAGCACACCTCTGTTAATCAATATCAAACAAATACTGTTGAATACATCAAATATCTGCAGTGTGTTGATCACGCAAATGACGTTATTTATAGTCCAGCCTGTCGACAGTTTAATTTCCAAATAACTAATTTCGTGCCAGTCATGTTGTGCAATTCTTTGGCGGCCCTGAAGACTATGGACGAATAGATGCTTAGTTTGAGAAACTTTCAGATAACTATAATCGAATATATATAATTATTTTTCAAATCGCTCATAGCATTTCAGAAAGTCTCTACACAAATTGTTAATGATATTATACCGCTTAAAATTTTTGGTGTACAAACAAGGGAAAATTTAAAAATCAAAAACGAAAAAAAAAATTAATTATGTATTGATCATCCGGCCAATATTCTGGCATAAATCCTACTGCTCGGGAGTCTTTCCGGTTCATCCACTATTACAAATAATTAGCATTTAACAGAACCGCAAACATCCGGAGCTTTGTTCTAGAAACACTAAATTTCAGAACACTCAACTGTTCAAAGTATTTATTTTATTGATATTCTTGAATTCATCTATTGTAAGTGATTTTTCCAATCAACACGTGATCAAATATAGCAGTAGCCGTTTAAAACATTTCGAATTTTTTTCAAAATACATAACAAAACAGACAAGTACAAAATTTATTAATGATGTAATTTCTGGCAGGATGCGCAAGTAATTGATTCAGGAATTTTAAATGTATAAACGATTGATGATTCATTTCATGGCATAGCACGGGATCATTTGTTAATGAAACGACGTGCATATATTATGTCTGCAATCTTAACATTGAATTTACGTAAACATTTTGTATTAATTCGTACCATATCGTTGCAATGTCCATTAGAACCCCTAGCCTTTGAATGCTGAGTAAACTAAACAAAGTTATCTTAAATCGCCATTTGGAAGACGCGAAATGATTCGTAAAACTAGTTCAACTAAATGTACTCGACCAACGAATTTTGAAATGAATATATCAGTATTTACATTTAAAAAGTATTCAAATTCTGTATTGAAATATCGTATTTTACAGGAATACGTACCGACGGTTTTTGAGAACTACACAGCAGAAACAAAAGTCGAAGATCAACGAGTGCATTTACTACTATGGGATACAGCAGGTATAAACATTTTTGTTTTATCACGAGACAGTTTTGTAAATGTTGTTATTTAAATATATTCTTGATATACCGTTTAAACTAAAAATAATACTCAATCCCCACGGCATGTTTGTGATCATGTTATAATCTTAGGGGGTTTCAATCTTGAGCATTTGCTATGACTTGTTAACATTTACTATTCTATGAGTTCAATTCATACACGAATATTTAGCAAAACAAGTGTACGTGAAAACTCTTTAAGAAAAATTCTATAAATATATTTCACAGGCCAAGAAGACTACGATCGTCTGCGACCTCTTTCATATGACCGTGCTGACGTAATCATAATGTGTTATGACGTTATGAGCATTTCAAGTTTTGAAAATATTTCTATTCGATGGGCTCCAGAAATACGTCATTTTTGTCCTGGCGTTCCCGCAATTCTCGTAGGTTGTAAGACAGACTTAAGACGTGACGTAGATTTGGAGCAGAGCTTAAAACAACAGGGCAGAGAAATCATAACGACTGAAAAAGTAAGACTGTTTATGAAAGTTTTCTTTTCGATATATATAAAAAAAAATGATTTGAAGGTTCGTGTTAATACTTCTCGTAAGTCACTCAATTTTTTGCTTTTATAAATTGTTTGTCTCGTTTTCATGATAAAGATGGCAAACACATCATGGATTCAATTTCATCTTTTTTTTTTCATTCTACTTCAGGGGCAGAAGCTTGCAAAAGATATCGGAGTTAATAACTTTCTGGAATGTTCAGCAAAAACGACAGACAATGTCGATAACGTTTTTCGAGTTGTGTCAAGACTTGCGGTCGGACTTGACACGAACAATAACTCTGGGAAATCTCCTGTTCTATTCAATAATTGCTCCAATTGTAATATATTATGAAGATGCGGGAAGATCAGATGCGATGTAGCGTACTTGCTATAAAACATGCCTATAATTACCGTTCACACTTAAGCCGGGCTTCGAAATATTTAGGGTCTGGATTGAACTGAATTGTAAAAGCTTTTAAAGCAGAATCAATATGTATGCCAAGATGCCAAGAAATGAAACAAACCCCAAAATAAATAATTCTGAAAATAATGAGCTGTATAGAAGGAGAGAGCAAAATAAAGCAACGACACCTAACAGAATATATTTATCCATTCATATAGAAAATTAAATTGAAAAACAATTAGATGTTTCACGGCCCTTCGATATCTGTTGCGTTAGTACCAGCCCCATTCTTATTGCGATGGACAATAAAACCATTGTTACAAGCTATAATAATAATAAAAAAGATATAATTGAAGTCGAAATACTTTGCTGCGGTAACGACTGAATGTTCCTATCGCGTTTTAGAAAATTTGACATCACACTTTTTCATTTTTACATCTAGTACACTGTTGAAAAGTCGTGAAAAAAATAATTAAACACGAGTTTTCTTATCAATAAGTACTGGTCGTTTGGCTAAAATCCACCTGCTTCTCTCTATTCAAGTATAACGCTTAATATAATCATAAAAGTGACCAGTGTCATTTACCCGTGACCAGTGATACTTACTGATAAATGACATCATATTCAATTATTTTTTGCAGTGCACTAGAACTGAATTTCGCAATTGTATTGATTTTGTCTATTTTCAGTTTTATATAAGTTCTTAGGAAAACGGTTTCGATTTCTAACACGACTGTTTAATTGATCTTGAGTCTAAATGCTTAACGTTCATACGAGCTGTTGATTGCAATTTTTCATAGGCTGTATATGTATATAAAACTCTTCAGGTACACACGTATATATTGATCAGTTGTACTGATTGTGTCAGTGTCGGGATACAAAGACAGACTGATGCTCGCACAATTGCTTGCTGATGAAGTTTCTTACTTTAAATAATAAATTCGTTTCTATTTAAGTAGTACAATGTACCATGAGTTGGATATTAAATCCTAATACAATATTAAACAATAGTCGACCCTTGCCATTGAATATAAATATGTCTGCAATTTCGTGTTTTGTGCATTCATCGAAATTATTCTGCAATATTTTTTAAGACTCGCATTACATTCACATAACCAGGGACGAATAAATGAAAAACTGTATAGTTTTATACGATCCTGTATTTAAATCTTATACTCAGTTGGTTGGTTAGTTGTGTGAACATGCTTATGATAATTTGCAACTGCTATATTTTGGAGATTTTCTCAGTTCACTCAGTGATTTATAACATTTTTTAACAGAAAAATCACGTTTTAAATAGCTGAGCGACTAAGTCCCACGACTATATTGGAATATCAAACAGACTGTCCAATTTATCAAATTTGAAAACACAGTTCACAGATATTTTGATCGAATATAAATTCTTGGCAGTAATTAAAATCTGTTTAGATCGGTAGTAAATTTAAAACACGTGTCCATTTGATAACGCGGCTAACGGTTCAACTAGAAAAAAGTTTATTAAAATCAATGTTTTAATATTTGAAAATTACAATATTTTGATTGGAAATTTGGCCGTAAAAAGTACAAATCCGTTTTGTATATCATAAGAATTAAAATTGGTCTTTATTCTGCTTTTTCTCTCTTCCATGCATTTTAACTACTATTGTATTTATAAATGGCAGTCTGCAATTTATTTTGAGTTCTATTTCTTCTATTTATGTTCCAAATAAACTATCATTACAATAACGCCATGCAATTTTTACGTTGTGGCTTATATTGTAATGTCACTGCTAACGAGCTTTTAATTTTTTGTTCTATTTATATATTAGTAATAATTAATTGTCATTCTTCACAATACTTTTTTAGTTTATTAACTTTATTACTTATCGATTTTAATCGGTAAGTATGTTGATAGGTATTTGTCTGTCTGTTTGTCTGTTAGATGCACGCGATATCTCACGAAAGCTAGATTGAATCTGCTCCAAATGTTGCATGTTCATTCATCATATGTCGTACCAGAAGCCTATTGATTTTGGATAAATTATGTCGTATAATTAGCGAGTTATAAATTAATTAGTGATGGGACACAAGGTGTCACTATGGAGTAAGAGCGCTGTTTTGGGGATCCCCTAACTTTCGATCGATAAGTCTTCGGTCTCTGACCGATATTCTCGTTATAACTATTTCATTGCGTGGTACAGATAACGTATAAATCTTCTTGAGATTTCCCCTAATTATAATGTATGTGCCCATTTTATCTTAGTAGATTTTCAAAGCGTCTATGCTGTCGGTTATGACGCGAATATGACAAAAACTAAACCGAAAGCCTTCAGTCCCAGTTTGGGACAAATCATATACTTGTTTTGGTCAACAAAGTCCGAAATATCTTTACAAATTTATTACAAAAAACAGCTAGGTGTTGTATAGAAAATTAACTAGAAGAATAGGCTATTATTTCATTACCTTTGAAAGCAATGAACAGTTCTTAACAAAAAGAAGCAAAAAAAAACATTTGTCACAGTTGAAGTGAATCACAGAAAACTGTGGACGTTATCAGAGCTGTGACACCCTATGATCCATGGCTCTTTCTAAAAAGTACAACTTTTACAGTGAAAATACAAAAACAATGCATAGGTAGCGTGGGACCCTTGCAGATATTGATACAGGCCGAGGGTGAAACAGGAAAACTATTCTCACGAACATTACCACGTCAATAAAATATGTAGCTGAAATCTTAAATGGAAAATACAATTTATTGAAAGTACCTTTGTAAAGCATGGATTGAATCTTTATTGAATAAAATAAGCAAAATTTATTTTCATTGATCTGAATCCATTTTTCTATTAAGATACGAATTATTGGCCCGAAAACCTCCAATTTATCACTCATACAATCAAAAAGGCAAAATAATATAACAGCATAACTCGAGTACATTTTACTTACCTTAATATTGTGCTGAATGTACCGTTATTCAGAAGACATACCGTTAGCTAACATGCAAATGGCGCAACTAGTTGAGGTTGTGCTGGCTTCCCGCGCAATAATTGACGACACCAAGTGATTATCTGTAAGGTCAACCTTGTAGCAATACAAATGCTCCAATGGGCCTGGCGTAAAAAAACATCCTGTAGTGCGGTATCAACGTTATAGCATTAAAAGATTCAGTATTGTTTATTGGCAAATCTACCCTGAAATGTATTCGACAGCAATTGTGTCAGCAAATCCATTTATTTCATTCCCCTGTAAGAGGAAATCGCTCCACATCTAGAAAACGCGGTTTGCGTTGCATTGACAAAACGCTAATGGACCTTTCCCCGATCTTTGACCCCCGGAAAATTCTTCCCATACTTTACCAATTACCATTGCAAAATTTTCGGCGCTTATTTTGAGAGTGGTTTCGAGAGTTGGCGCCTGTAACATGGGGTATTTGTTTCAAACCATCATTCTGATTCATAGCATTCAACAATCTGTTTTTAAAAGTACCGGTAAAGACTTTTAGCCTAGTCTATCGCGCAACTTCTACACTGATTTTTTGATTACTGCAATTAAACTGAAACTCCTAAGAAGACAAAGTGATCGTTGAATTATTTGATTTAAATTTTAAATTTCCGAAACACAACTGAAACCTAACGAATAGAATTCAAAATCGCGAAAACGAGGTAATGTTTACGACCAAGTCTGAAAATCTGTCTGAGTGAGAAAAGTGTCTGAGCGGGTGCGAAAAGTGGCATTGTTTCGTTACTTTTTGCATCTCGCTGATTGGCCAATGTCACGAAGAGTCTAACTTTTGTTTACGTAGCAATTCGTTTGCGTAAGACGATATACAGAAGGTATTTTGAATGTTTCGTGCTGCCTGACAACGTCTGTCTGACTGCTGGGAAGTGATTAGTTGAATGTTTTGGGATTCAAAACGCTCCCGGCAGTAACGCAACATGGGACAAACTAATAAAATGTAGCCAAAAAGCATATCCTATATTATTCAATGTAGCTTTCATGAAATTAAGATCTGTCGACAACTTAATTATCCTAGTAAGGGCCAGCCACTGTTTCTTTTTTTATATTTTGTATTTAATTTTATTCAAAATGACATTGTGTTTACCGTTGGAATTTTTCATATTCTACGTTTTTGATATTTTGAACTTTTCCGAAAAAGATTTTGAATACCAATATTCAACAATAAGATTTTAAGAAATATTAAATTCCACTTCTTCTTCAATGTCTATGCAGATATTGTGTATTGTTATTGCTAATGTTACTGTCAGATAACAATGCTAAAACATATAAAATTTGTATTGATATTGATAATAGACCCGAAAATGATGACTGATATAAAATATTTCTCCAACGTGCTGTCTGATTTTAGGGTAAAAACTTTTCATGCGGGGAAATGAAAAAATATAATGAATGATTTCATAATGAGTTGATAATGTGGGACAGACATTACTGACTTAGAGTGAAGGATTTCCAAGCTATAGAGCTGCAACTTTTGCGAATATTCTTAAACTGCACTAAACATGGTAGCTTGTAAGACCTGGCAATGTTTGCGCGTTTGGTAAATAAAAGGCGACAAGCACTGTCTATCGAAGAAGAAGCTTTAATTAGCAACTCTTATTAATTGTCTAAATTGGAACGTAAAGGAAATGAATGGTTTTAGCTGCAGCATGTTTACTGACGACAATAGAGTAATACTCAGTATATGAACAAGAAATTTGTATCTCGATCGTTATCCGATTCAATCGCTGAGCTGTGAGGTCTTATAAATTTCATTTGGTTCAGGGGATAACCGTGAGAACCATTGCGAAAAAATGAGTATCAGGAAGAAATATTCAGAAAATATCGTTGAGTCTCAATTATTTTTCATATGATTTAAGTAAAACATAATGGCGTACGCTTTTTTGTTGTCTAAAGTCTTTAAATGTGATATTTATAACAACCCAACGTTCATAGGGCATGAGTTAGAAGAAATTTATCTAATTATCTATTGCCATCATAATTCAGTAAACAACCCGTCGCCAATCTGCCACTGTTGGACGAAAACTTTTATATGTTACCGCCTTTCCGATGTCAGGTTTATTTTGTAAACATTGAGTCCTTAAAATTGAATTGAATTTGGATTATCCTAAAATTCCAATGTCATAAAGATAACAGTTAGTAAATTTAAATAATTTTCTAACAACGCAACCAAATGGGATAAAAAAAATTTACTTCATGTAAGTTTAAACATTATAACGAACATGTTTCTTTTGTCCTTTGGAACATTTGAATTACCCACTCACTAAAAGGTTATCCAAATAGTATTTGCAATATATATTTTACCGCATTAGGTTGGAACAAACATGCATGTAGTCATGACATGCTTTAGTAAGTCTCGCGCTTTCAATAATGTTTTTGTTTTATCACTCCTAAATATTTAAACAAAAAATTTTGTTTAATTTTGTCCAAACCCACTCACTTCTCAAGATTACCTAGTGCAATGAGCAATCAGCAATTCTTCGATTTCATATATTTTACAAAATTAATATAAATTACAAATAAGCTAAAATTAGTGTTTGTCTTGAACTTTATATATTTGTTTCCTAATAAATTTAGCTTGTTGATGGTAGTTAACATATTCGGTAAAGAACCAAAATGTCATCCCCAAAGTTAAAATGGTGTGAAAAACTGCATTGTGGTTGAAGTTTTTAGGGAGCGGGCAATCTTTTCCATCGTCCACACCACAACGGGATGCAAATATTAGTTGAGTTACTCCACTAAAAAAGATTGTCCACATACTCATACATCGTAACAATGGTATCAAAATCCGATTTTGGCGCGCATGCATCTCGATATCATGTTGGAAAACTTCAAAAGATGTGGATAGATTAGTTGAATCAATGTTAATGGTTTGCTCTTCATTATTGGACGATTGGGTCGATAATGATTCATTTCTTGAGGGTTGTAATAAATCTTGTCCGAAGGTATTTGCTGAACACCGGGCGATGTGAGTAGAATGCGATGGAGTTGTTTCATTACCAAATTCTGGACTCTTATAGAGCAATATGCATAATGTTGTGACAATGATACAGTATGTCAATACACTGATCGCTAAGGATTTTATAACAATATTCAGAGTCCAGAGTTCTTTGAATTTTTCTTCGACGGATTTGATTTCAATATGGTAATCTTTATCATAAGTCACAATGCTTCCACCATCTGTAGAAATTGAAACAGTGCCCGAGTTCAAATCACCTAATGCATAATCCGCTGCTTTCCATACGTGTGCAACCACTTGGATCAAGACGAAAATACCAAAAAATACGCTTGCAGTATATAAATTGTTTTGAAATTTTGTTGTTACGCGAAATGTAGTTGAAGTTTTTGAAAAATTAGCAGATTCACATATTATCGTAAGAAAAGCGTTGAAAAGCATGAAACCAGCGAATATTGAGCCCGAGATATTAGCCATCTGCCAGATCATAAACCACGGCACGAGAAATGGACGTAAAGCGTCGTATTCATCCAAACAGTTCATATCAGTTTCATTTATCTGCTTTGGATCCTTGGCAGAACCAACAGTACATGGTGGTAAATCGGGATTAACATACTGTTCGTGATGGTGAACAAATCCGGACAATACATTCATTAATCCACAAGTTATAAGAGAAGCTGAAATTGATCGCACCAGTTTACGAATATTGCACAGTTGATTTTTTGCGACATTGTCAATACGAGTTTCGTGATGTATTCCTTTTTTCCCCCTGGATTTTTTTGTCAGAACTTTTAGCCTAATCGTTGGTAAGTACAGTAGCAATCCGTATATGAAACAGCATATTCCGCAAAGATAATTCGTGAAGTATGTGCCAAAAGTTGCGTCAAGTTGTCTGGGGTAGGAAACGATATCTGATGTACTGTCATTAATATACTTGAGTGTAGACGTTTCAATGAAAGGCATGTTTCTCGTGCATGAGAAATCTGAATTAGAAAGGAATAAAATAATTGGTTTAGAAAGTACGATGACTCCATAGACAATCTGAGCGCAAATGCACAATTAGGTCGTCAATAATTACCATATGCAGAATAACAGCAATAGGTCGAAGATAAAATTGCATGGGGTGTCAGAGAATGTACCAAGTGCATATCTATTTGCTCAAAAAAAATGTTCCAAAAAAAGATTTAAACCAAAAACATCATTATATTATAAATTATGTTTTATCAATTCTACACTTTGTTCAATGTTTTATTTTTATTTGTGAACTGATCAATTTCGAGAAAAAAAATAACAGTATTTCTTTCACAAAGTTTAGAAAAGGAATTCGAAGTGGTATAAAACTTTCAAAATTTTCCCATCAAGTATTCGTAATCTAGGTAATTATTTTTTGCAATAAAAATATAAGGCAACACGCAAGATCTCACTCACAACTCAGGCAAGATTTTATGCAATTTTTTGCAGGAATAAATCAAGAATTGTTCACTAAACATTATTGATAAAGTTTATTGAGTTTTATTTTCATTAATCGGCACTTGTAAATGCTATGAATACATTAAAAGTTACAGTAAGCGTCTCAGAGCGTTTATCAATTTCTTTCAATGTGTTTCCAATTCAAATAAAAAAATCCATGTACTGCGCATAATTTATTTTATATCAAATATCGGAACTAAGTATATATGTAAATTTAATTGATATTATTTTAAAATCGAGCGAATTTAGGTGTTATTAACATATGTATATCGACTAATTTGTAAACCTTCTGAAATTATTCTAATTCAAGTCCAAAATATTTTAAAAAGAACTTTTATTGGGAATGCCGATATAGCTTTATAACTAAAATTACTTTAGGAGACTATGAGGTAAAGTACATTTGGATATAACAACAAACTAATAACACTCATCTGATACTAACTACTATTGTTACCGCTTATATAATAATTTGGATGGAACCTTCCTGACCCACTAGATGAGTATAATGGTTGTAAAACTTCTTATAGTATTTAAATAGCATTATAAATCAAAGATAGTCAGTATTGAAACGTCTTTTTTGTCAAACAGTTCAACGTGCTGGATCATGAAGCTCTCAGACCATTTTCCTCAACTAATTGGCAATTCCTGATTATTAAAAAGCTATTTGACCTCGATTAGAATTAAAACGCCTGGTTTTAAGTATCGCCTCGGGGCCCTCTTGAGATAAAAATATACATTTTCTATATTAAATAAATTATTGTATATTTTCATTTCTGAAAATTGTTTTCGTTGAATGATATTTTTCTTGATAATCATATAATATGATACTGTCAATACGATTTTTATGTGCAAATTCAAATTAGTAAATTGCATGCGTATTAATTTTCCTCAAAATTGTTTCGCTGAAAATAGTGGGTTCAATTATAGTCTATAAAAGGCAAAAACAATTTAGATGCAGAGGGCACATACACTCTTTTTGATTCAATTCAATTCAAAGAACTTAAAATTCGGGATAATATCCATTAAACAAACAGTTATGCTTATAGTATAAAATTATATCAGGTGCGGATTTTTTATCAGAAATCATGACCCTGGATGACCAACCTAGAACGAACAAAATTTGTTTGAAACCTTATAATTATTTTCTAAAAACGTGAAAAGAGTGGCAGCGGCAAAAACATTATGCACCATACCTGCTGAGTCAAAATCAGAACATTCCATGGCAGTTTTGTAAACGAAATTACTCGAAATTAAAAGTTGATCGAAATTTTCGATATCGGCGACTTCAGCAGCAAACAGCAATTAATAACACAAAACCCTTTTTTCGAATTCGTGTATATTTATCATTATTACGTCACAAATTGATGAACATGACCGTTGCCATATTTACTGATTTGTTTTCATTCGAATTGAATATTTATTTATTCGAACTGATTGGGGGAGTATAAGTCAGAAGCCTATATTTTACGGCTTCGCCACAAGTTTACAGACAATTGCGACTGTATCGAATCATCGTTCGTATTTAATTCTTCTATACCCGGAAAAAAACAAAATCACTAAACACTCATTTGACTCTGTCGTTGACGACAGCAGATGACACACTGACAAGTCGCTTTCGTTTTGTGCAAAGTTTTATCTGGCCCGGCATTTATGAGGAAATATTGTTCTCACGTTATAACGAAATTTTTAATCTTCTTTTAATTTGTCCACTTCATGTGTTTAACATTGCGCCGTTTATAATTACTACTCCGGGCCGCTACTGTTTTGAATTTATCATTCATCTGCCATAAACAGTCATAATCACTGATTGCTATTAAAACATGTGTATAAAACGCGCTTACATTGTGTTTACACGTATATATCTATAATAGTCTAAAATTATGCAAAGACAATGATAAGAGAATCAAATATTCATAGCAGTGTTTGTGCCGAAATTTTTGATATCGGCGACTTCAGCAGCAAACGGTAATTAGTAACACAAAACTTTTGTTTCGAATTTGTGTATAGTTATCATTATTACGTCACAAATTGATGAACATGACCGTTTCCATATACTCAGTGTTTGTGCCAAATTACAGCACGATTTTCAATACGGTAAAATATATTTCAAATTCAGACCATGGTATATATAAATTTTTTTGAATGTATGCAGGATTTAATTCTGTTTTGCGCATCTCGCATTTTAAATATACTTTGCTCTAGAGAGACACTATTTTTTTACGAGTTTTGAAAACCCTACAATTGACATTTTTCAGTGACATTTATTAAAGTTCACCGTAGTCGCTTAAAATAACAAACTCTGTCTCATTATTTAACCTCTATCACTGTTCATAAAATAATGTTCACCGGATTTTTCTAGCACACATCGAACACAGGAAAAAATATAAAATTCGTAACATTATATAATAGTTTCCTTCAAAGAGTACTAAAATAAGACTAAGCTCTTGTGTAAAAAACGTTCTTATGTAGATTTTTGGGTCTTTCCAGAAGTGTGTGTACCAGTATGGGAATAACTAGTTTTGTTCGCCTATTTTACATCAAGTTGTGTAAAGGGACTGAAACCTATATTCACTGTACTATAGTCACTTGGCTAACACAGGCAGTCCACACTCCTAATAGAAGTAAAAAAAGGAAAATCGGAATAAAATTATGGCCTAACCCTAACCTGGTACACATACTACGGGAGTACCGATTTTTGCGTGTTCTGTAACTATGAAAAGGTTCATGATGGGTATGTGACTATAAAACTCGAACGCGATAGGAGCTAATATTATTCCTCATTATTTCCTCGACAAACTGTAGAAAAACTGATCTTTTGAAGGAAGGTTCAATTTTCTAATAAATTTACTAGGCTGTGACTTTTATTTCATGCAAAACTAATGACCTGGCAGTTTAGTAGTAATAATAGGCGTTACAAAATACGTCACTGAGGGGGTCCCTAAAAATATCCGAATAAACATGATATCAGAATAACACTGAGAAAAATAAAAGGCAATCAAAAAGTTTTGTCAGCACTCTTTGATCCCTTACACTGCAATGTGATACCAGAAAAAATCTCAAACTGAAAACGTGAAATATATCGCATAATGTATAAGTGTTTACGGATTCATCAACACGTTTTGTGGCTTAGCCCGAAGGTAGATTAAGATATATTTCTCAATGGCATTTTTTCTAAAGACACCACAATGTGATGTTTCACCTGATAAAGATTATATTGAGCATGATACATTGTTGAGTTGTAATCCAGAATTTTTTTTTATCAATGATCGTGTTTCATCTACATCAGATTGAAATCAAATGCGTCAGCTACATTGTGATATCATTATATGAATCGCCATGGGAATTTCATCAAAAATTGGAACATCGGAATTTGACACTTGTGGACAAGTGACATTCTATCTTATATATTTTCGGTATATGGGTAGTCTTCGTATATTTCTGACGTAAAGACGTCGCCAAATAACACATGAATGGTATTACATCTGGAATATGTCTTCTTGGTAACAGTATCAGCATTTCATGAATTTGTTTCAGGTATAGCTGACTGCGGACACATCCGAAAAATTTACGACATATATCACATACGGACTATCTTTATTAACTTTATTTGATGCAGTGACGGATTACATGATGACCTAGACTAGATTTTTATTATTTTTAATTGTTGAATAGCTTTTGTTATCCATCCTTATAAGTACGTTCATAACGCATAGGTGCACAAGATAAACCCATAAAGCCGCCAGCCAATACGGCGTCAAAAGGTAAACGACAACTGTTTATGTTTATGTATTGAGAAAAAATAATCGGAGAATTTAGCATGGGATATGCTGATTTGGGTAATAATGGGTCTACAATGATTGGTTTCTGCATAATTTCATTCTCAGAAAGGTAAAATACAAACTTCCATTAACTCCCCGCGAATGTATTTTATTGTGTAAATAGAAATGTTAAATTGATACAGAAGATATTCCTATATAGTGCTACAAATATTTGTGTATTCGAATAGCGACCAATCTGTGAACCGTTTGTATACGTTAGAGGCTAAAGCACTTTATTGCGACCGACATGCTATCGTCGCCTAGTACCTATCTGGGATATAATCGGGATGACGTTAATGGCGTTAAATTGAAATTACATTTCAAAACAAAATCCCAACCCGAACTGCTTTTACTTTATGCTTTATCTTGAAGCAGGCCGAAAAGTTGAACAACCCCAATCGTTAAATATACATACTCAACTGTACTATAGAAGAGTATGGGAGAATAAATTAAAAAAAAATTGCTTGCTGAATTCACCATAGTGGCCGTAAAAATAATTACCCGAAAAGTCTGAATCTGGCAGTCAGAACCAACTTTTTTAATTGTCTTTATATTTGCTGACGTATTCTTATAGTATATTCATACAAATACACAATGTATATATATATAAGTATGAAGGAAGCAAAAGTAGTATGATATGCAAGCATTTTATTATTCATCGGTGGTATAAAATAATGGAATGAATATTATAAATTAATCACTTTTTAATGTTCGCGAAGGTGACGTATGTATAAACTGTTTAAAATATGAGTAATCAGCCAAAAACAATAAACTTACACCAAGACCTAAGAAAACATGATATACCGCGTTATGATTAAATTCAATGGGTAATGGGCAGTAAATTGGATTGTTCTTGCCACACGAAAAACTCAATATTATCTGAATCAAACCCCCAATAAGCACTAAAATCGAACCAAAGAACTTCAACAAATACTGATTTGGACTGTAAATTGCTTCTCCAGTACCTTTGTCATACTTGTAAGATTTATGTAACAGATAAAGCATAACAGTTGCATACAGAAACGTAGAACCAGCAAATACCGCACCGGCCTCAACAGTTGACCAAATGTCCATTTTATCCTTGTCATACCTTGCTTCCTCGATATCTACTACCTCATCGTTCGTCCGAGAACAATATATATCTTGTCTGTATTGGTATATTTTCAACAAACGCCAGATGGTATATAAGAATATCGCCGTCAGAAATGAATGCACGGAACGTCCAATCTTTCTATCGACCATTTGTAAAGTGTACGAATCAGAATTGCAAAACTTGTTTCCGTTGCTCGCTAAAAATCTCAGGTTACTATTTTGGTCCAACTTAACCGTTAAATATGCCAATAAAATCATGGTACATCCAAATACAACAGCCAGAATATCGGCAATTTGCCATATTGCGTACCATTGATAAATGTGTAAACGCACAACATTCCAAAAATGTAAATCTTTGGCATAGTCGTTAAGAAAAATTGATGAACTTGTCAGTGGATCTATAGAGGGTACGACCTGGTGAATGACTCCTCCTATTGCACTCATTCCTGCGCATGAAATGAAAGCCATGGACGATGCAAGACGAATTGCATTTCTCAGAGAACCCTGTACTGTTTTGTTGCATTTGTGCTGATCCTTGTTGTCCAGTTCATTCGGCTGTGTTGGGCTATTGTACAATGTCAACATAAGATAACCATAAATCAAGCAGGGAATTACAATAATGTAATTAGTGACATGAGTTCCAAAAGAGGCGTCCAAACCCCAGACATAAGATCCGCCAGTATAATCTGCCATGACGCCCTGTAGAAAGATAAGCACGTATTTTATAACCATGAATATTTGGCATATGTGATAGCTCGGAAATATAACACTGAGCAAGCATAAACAAATATTTTTACACCTCGAAGGAAGTCTGGTAATGCAACTAAAAATTTAGTTTGAGTTGATTAAATTGAATGCAGTAACTGAACCTGTTCACAAGTATAGTTACCAGTTAGTAGGTGGAGACGAATGAGATACTAAAACTCACGTTGTGTAGACGCTTGTGCCAATCGACTCCTAAACGATGCCCATGCGCCAGTGGTTCTCAACCTTTTATTGACCGCGTACCACTTTACTGTTTTTTACTATGGCCGCGTACTACCGACAAAGCTCCTTTTTTGATGTGGGGAAAAATACACAAGAAACGTGCTATGGGAGTATTTTATAATGTGGCACTACATTCTTTGTGGCGTAACACGCGAAACGGACAAAAACATGCCCATATAAGGTGGGCAATAGCGAGCGAGGGCGATCTCTAGAGACATGGACTGATAGCGCACCAGCGCTATTGACGTTTCCCCGACCATTGACTCCGGAAAAATTACCCCTATACTTTACAAGTGTAAACTTTATGCTTATTCTGAGAGTGGTTTGTTCCGTCGGCGAATATAAAATGGTTGAAGTGTTTGAAACCATCATTATTTCGACATGTGTCCTTATTTTATGGGTAGAGGTTCAAATATCAGGCACTTAGATTGGTCAAATCGAATGATTGATTTGCTAGAAATGATATTTTACAACTTCATTGATTGCTACGTGCATTCATTACGTAATGAAAGCAAATTAATTGACACAGTGACAAAACAATAGCCTACCGACCAAAATCACTGCGTGTAACCTGAATCAAAATACAACTTAAGAGTGAGATGGAACAATTCGTTTCTAAGAATAAAGAAATGCTGGAGCAAATCCTTTGCAAAGTATGATTAGACATGGGTCGCACTAGCATGAATACATTTTGTTTATTACATTTCGTTGTTACTTATCGATCTTAAGATCGGTAAGTATATTGATAGGTATTTGTCTGTATGTATGTCTGTCTGTGTGTCTGTCTGTTAGATGCACGCGATATCTCACGTAAGCGAGATTGAATCTGCTCCAGATTTTGCATGTGCATTCATCTTATCTCGGACCAGAAGCCTATTGATTTTGGGCGAATTATGTCGTATAATTAGCGAGTTATCAATCAATTATTGATATAGTGATCTAGATTTTTGTAAAGCGAGAGAATTTTGAATCCCGCCGAGTGTGTGTGTGCGATGCGCAGTGCGCAAGAAACCCGCCGAGTGTGTGTGTGCGATGCGCAGTGCGCAAGTTACAAGAGCGGATTAATCGAAACTGCAGTTTCTGTTTTGGGGGATCCCCTAACTATCGATCGATAAGTCTTCGGTTTCCAACCGATATTCTCGTTTGTTACCTATCGATATTAAGATCGGTAAGTACGTTGATAGGTATTTATCTGTCTGTATGTCTGTGTGTTAGATGCACGCGATATCTCACGAAAGCGAGGTTGAATCTGCTCCAAATTTTGCATGTACATTCATCATAGCTCGGATCAGAAGCCTATTGATTTTGGATGGATTATGTCTTATAATTGGTGAGGTATTATTTAATTAGTGATGGGACACACGGTGTCACTATGAAGTAAGACCACTGTTTTGGGGGATCCCCTAGCCTTCGACCAATAAGTCTTCGGTTTCTAACCGATATTCTATTATTATATTTCCCTGATTTTTAGGTTCATATCGATGGCAGCCTTGGATATAGCTAAGTTTAGCTTTGTCCATCGCAGCATTTGCGAGATTCAATTTCGATTACTGCAACTAACGTAAATTTTCGCGGAAGACATAATGACAATTAAGTTAATTAATTCACAATTATTTTATTGAAATACAACTGAATCACTTAAAAAATCACTGACAAATATCACTTAAAACTACAAAAACGAGGCAATGTTTGAAACCATGCTTGACGACAGAAGTGCCTAATCGGCAGGGTGCAGAAATTGCAATTGTTATGTGTTGCTCCATTATTGACTTATTGCTGATTGGTTATAGTTACGGAAATAAACAAAGAAACTGATGCTTGGGGAAATCTTCATGAACGGCATATTTTAGTTAACTAAAGGTTAATTGTTGCAATAATTAAAATCTGCTCGCGTACCACTTGAAAAGCTCCCGCGTACCACAGGTTGAGAACCACTGCCATACGCCTATGTATGTGTTAGTGGCCAACCACTCTTTATATCAAATCATACATATATTACACTTACTTGGATCACCCCACAATAGATGAAGCAAACTTTGTTTCCTTTACTTAGGGATTTTTTCTGAACATTTGACAGTGTTTTATACCGGTTCTCGTTTCACGTAGTACTACAGGCTTTGATAAGATTTTATTAAAAAATAGAATCATATGCTATATTATAAACAAAAATACACTATAAACAGAACTTTGACATTAACTGCAAAAATTCAAACCTAACTGCTCCAGTCTTACTTACCTAGGCATTACGATTGTTGGCATTGAGAAGTATTACAGTGAACTAATTATGGTTCCACATACATAACCCGATATATATAATGATAAAAATCATGTTCGGCGTGTCGCGATTTTGTAATTATACCATCACATCATTTATAGTATGATCCTATTAGTTCTGAACTCCTGACAATACAACCTAAACAGCAAGCAAAGCACAAAGAACTGTTGATCCGTACGTATGCCTCGCTAAAAAAATAGGTCCTAAGCAAAAAACGTACGTGGAAGTACTAAACGACAGTTAGATATTATTAATTCTGCTTATTCTTTTCATTACTGGCGCATAAAACAAGCATAAACGGATTTCCCCTACGCAAGCATGATATCATAGCGCTGCTGTGATTTACCGTCGTAGCAGAATTCTTTACTATTTATAAAATATGTGAATTGATTGTAACAATTGTCCAATCATTACAAAGATAATGTATCACACCGCCCACTACGAAAATTCGTCATAACTATATACAATGTTCCCTCTAAAAAGTTTTGTAGTATGTGTGGGCAGAAATTTTGGTGTGTGCGCACTTTTTTGGAAATTACTGATATTTGTGCAAAAATCAATGAAGAAATTTTGGCGTTCTAACCGGGTAATAAGTGGGCCAACAACAAACTTTCTCAACCTGCCAACCGAGAACATTGTTACATTACATCGAAATACGTCTGTGCGCTGTAAATCTATAAGTGTGCGCAGCCTGTGTAAGCTGTGTGCGCGCGCACACGCGCACACTTTAGAGGGAACACTGGCTATATATATATGCGGTTGAGAAAACTTCAATTCATCAAATTCTGACAAAATACTGAAGCACCACACGCCCACCACAAAAAATTAAGTTTTGTATTATCACTATTATGTAATAACAATCTATTTCGAGAATAATCAAGGAGAGCCCCGCCAACGCATAAAATTATCCAGTTAGGGTTTGAGTTAGGAATGCAGATTTAGCTGGCAACTCAAATTTTTAAATCATTTTTAATCCCAACTGGATAATCACTAATAACTTAAAACTTACTCAGAAATGACTAGTCGCTGAGGTTAAATAGGTAAATAACCGGGCCGCATCGGTATTACGTCCGAACATTTGGAATTTATTACGTTATTATTCGCGCAGCTATAAATTTGAAACTAGATTAAAGACTGCACGTACAGGAAGCATATAGGCACATCTTTCTACCCATAATATGATTTAGTTTCAATTACACCAAAACTACACCTTGGTTTGAGTACCATCGAAATCTGACTTACCGTTATGATACATCATTGTCCACCCAGCAGCAAGACAATGCTCGACTCGAAGGCGAAGCAAGAGAACAATTAAAAGATTACCCAATCATGAAGAGGAAGGAATCTTTTATACAATAGGACAATACAGTATTTTGTTGAGCGCAAATAAATAAGATAAAGCCGTAATCGACAAAAACATGTTACAATTTGTTTTGAAAAGAACCGAGAAATCATAGTAAGAAGTAAAAAGTACTTGGTGTCTTCCGAATATCGCAGCAAATCGCGCAAGCCGCAAGCGTGAAGATTATATATTTGCATTATATTACGCATTTCTGTCCATAGATATGATCACTTTAACCGACGACTACAAATCGCTAATAACTGAATTGTTTAATTCGAAGGTAAATTTTAACGTTTTAGATTCTTTAGGAAGTAGAAGATACAAGTTATCTACATTTTTAATTACTTTGACTGCAACTACAAGTTTCAAAATACATTTTTCTGTTCGTTCGGCCCGGAAAGTTTTCAATAATGCATGCTTCGTACCATACTAATTTGCGATGAAATGCGAACTCTTTTGTAGGTGGTGATTAAGAAAAGTGCATTTATCGCAAAATATGTTCTTTCCCTTCAGATCAAAATTCCCACTACATAGTGTCGTTGACATTAACATCTTGGAATGGTGGACGTCTTAACAACAGAAACAAGAAAGTGTTTTGTATTTCTTATGTGATCAGCTTAGCTTTTAGCTAACGTTTTCTTCGATCCAACAAACGTGTTTTTTTATTTGAAACTCCGTTCCGTTTAATTGATTCTGATGTTTATAGCATCAATTGCAAATAGCCTTTGGCATCAAAATCATAAATATTGGTACCAAGCTCATAACACCGTATGATGTGGATAAATATAGGCGTTGAGGCGAATGCATTGCATTAATATTCTGCGTACACTGACACAGGGACCAAACTGCTCGACGGAATTTACTGAAAAGGATTTTTAGGAACACATTACAAGCCAAAATCAACTGATAAGCTTGTTCCATGAAAAGTAACTGTCAGAAATATCCACAATTATAATACGAGCAGGTCGCACGATGTTGCTCGCATTACCCGGCATAACTAGATAGATTTCGTTCTAATATCGATATTCCAAATCAAGTTGTATGTTCATTCATGATGTTAAGTTTCATTCCTTAATTAAAGTATCGACGACTTACTTCTGGCCAATCGAAAAAAGTTAAGTATTCCAATACTGAAGTACAAATACGCTGATGTTGTGATTTCGTACTGGTAATAGTCTCACATTTTTGCTAAGAAACTGTCTTAAAATGTCCTAATTATTGTGAAAAGACCACAATTCACGCAATTATAATGTAACATAGTACTGTTCACGCAAAAAAACAACAATTACAAAAATTTTCGTTCGCTTGCGGTAAAATGCCAGTCACGAAGTTCAGGTGATACTACCATTTTGAAATGCGAATAGCTCAAATTATGAAAAAAATTGTGAAATGTACAGATTTACAGATTTTTATTTTAACGCAAAAATATAGAAAAGTCGTTCTACTTCATCAAAATTACAATACAATATTTTAAAAGAATCAGGTATATACAGTGGAGAGGCAAAAAAAAAATTATCAAAAACAAAATCATAGAAAATAGAACTCTTTTTCGTAAAAAAATTCACTTGTCTAAAAAAAGGCAGAAAAAAAGTAAAAACTCCGTGATCAAAAAATTAATTCGATCAATATCGAATCAAATTGCCGAAAACTGTATAAAGCCTATACCATTAAGTCCAACTTGTTTATTTCCAAATTCGAATTTGGAATATGTCAAATTTATATTATGGCCTGTATTATTTTCGCGGAAAAAGTTCCCAGGCCACACGTCGGTTATCAATATATTTAAAAAGGTGGAAATAAATTTGTAAATAATAAATCATCGAAAAGCAAAGAGGGTATTAACTACCTAGGTCAGGATTTCTCAAACTGACCTCGGCCACGGATTGGTTCGCTGTGGTTCGTGGCAGAGGCTTTGATGACGACATTAATTTGAAGAAAATTGACCGGATTTGTTAGATTCTTTGAGTATAACGCATCTATTCATCCGCTATTTTAGCTTTAAACGCGGTGCATGAAATAACTGATGGAAACGCTTTAAAAGCAAAATTAGGTATTTTTATAGAAGAGCAGGAGGCACAATTGTTGAGAGTCTTTGGAAGGGAGTCACGGAATACGAAAGTTTGAAAACCGCTGACTTAAGTGGACTTGGTTTAGCTTGATAGATTTCAAAACGATTAGCATTACAGCCCAAGCATACATTCAAATAGATCTGGCTGGTATTAACATGTTTAATTGTGAGTAAAACAATTCCAAACTGATTTTTCTAGAAAATAGCATCCAACCAGGGTCAAGACAGTAAGGCATTACATGATGTCGAAGTGCAGAAATAATTAAATTTTAGCTTTTGGCAGATATGAACAAAATTGGTGACGCAAAATTGAAAGACAAAATATACATTGATTTTACATACTACTGCAATTTGGTTGTGTTGTTATGATTTTCATAAGTGATGATTTTAATATCGATCGTTTATTATGTGTAATGCAACGGAATGTAAGATTGCAAAATGCTAAAAACAAGCGATTGTATTGCTATTGAAATCAAAATCGAGTAAGAGATTAGTAAGAAAGTGGGTGCGACGACAGCAAATAAAATTAGGATTTCATATTGCATCATATTCATTCGAAGCGGGCAAAGATTTTTCACGTTTCAGAATATCTAACGGTGTAGTAAGAAGACTTCCACATTATTGACCCGTATGTAATTGAAAACCACGTATACCGTTTTGAAGCAGGCCAGGATTAAAATACACCAATCAAACAAATACTGGTTATTTCAGTGGTGTGCAAACGTGCTAAACTTAATTGATAATTTAGGAACTAGGCGACAAAATATACCATGGCAATTATAATAAAGTGGACCAATTTGTTTAGACTTTCAAGAAAACATGTTTTTTCAAATTAGGATAAATTACAAATCCAAGGAATTGTGTTGAATACCCAATATTGATTCTAACGCACGGTTCATAAATGGTCTGAGTTCAGTAACAAAAACAAACAAATCAAGAGTCTATTGAGATTTCGAACATGATCCAGTTTGTTTGACATCCATTATTTGACAAATCGGAAAAAAAGAATGAAAAATTGAGTGCCAAATTATTATGAGGTAGCAGAAATTATACATACTATCTACCCAATTACTTATAATATGATAAATATTAACAAAATAAAGTAATATTAAATAATATAGTAAAGTATCTTTGGCGGAAGACTACAAGATTGCCAAATGCTAAAAAAGACAGTGGGCGCCCTGTTTAAGTTTAAATAAAATTTTAAAGGTTAGAAATTGGTCGCTGTAACGTCGCAAATACAGTGGGGTGTGATCAACAGACATACCGATAATTTTTATTCCAGAGAGACCAAAGAAAAGCTACATCCAAGTGTGAACAGTAATGTGTGACTGTAGTTTGTTTTCTTCAAAATACATTATGAGACTCCATAAAATTCAATAATATGCGGGAACTAGTTTTAATCAGGCTTTGTTATAACGCGGTATTGACCATCAAATAACCGTTTACCATTGAATATATTCACACGATTTCGAAGCGACTGAAGACAGCGAACGTCTATTACAAATTGAAAAAGAATTAATATTTGAATTGTGATTTTATCATTTAAAGGCTCAAAACTAAAATTTGGTTTGGAAGGAATGAAATGTTCAATCTAAACTTTTTTTCCATGCATAAGGCGAATTTATTTTTGGCACACGCTTTGGAATAACTAACAATCTGAAGTATTCACAACTTCTGATATACTATGTTGCTCCGGCCAACCCAGCTTTACGTCTGCTTCTATCTGCCCCAAAGTTTCTTTCCAAATTCATTGTTATTTCTCTCTGAAGGTTGATTTTTTTACAGGAACCTTCGCTTTTTATCCACGGGTGTTGTAATACTTGTTCTGCGGTATATCTTCGTTTTGTGTCGACAACCAGAAGTTTGAAAATAAGATCTTTGGCGGCTGTATCGGAACATTAACATTATTTTAACATTAAAATTTTAGGCAGGGCTACTAAAAGAGACAACGAAGAGACGAAAAGCTAAAAAATAATTATGAAAAGACTGAATAAGGTCGCAAATATTCGATCAAGCTGGCAAATTGAAAACATACGAAAAATTTTTATTCTAAAAACTTCAGTTAGGAACTTCAGAATTCACTATTCTATAGCAGCTGTTGTTTTGTGCGCGCCAATCGGTAATCAAAAGCACGCGATTCTATGATATGATTCTCTACAATCCCAGTAGCTATAGTGGTTTGTCGTAAATTCGCTCAAAGATCAATCTCCCTAATTTCTGAGTACAAGTCACCCTGCTTTCAGCAAATGTCGATAAAATGAAATATTATGAAAAACCAATATCTTCAATTTTAAACTAAATCAAACCCGAATTTAACAATGAACAATCAATTAAGAAGCCATGCCATGTTATTGTAAAAATAGTTCAGAAAAAAATCCTAAACATACCGTCTGAAATGCTATCCCAATACGGCGACAAAAATTCATATTCCCCGAGTTGTATAATTTCAAACAATTCTTCTTGATTTCTATCATGTGAACGGAACGGTGGGAATCCACATAGAAGAATATAAGTGATAACTCCAGTTGCCCACATGTCGACTTCCAGTCCATAACCTGAAAATAAACAAGGTAAAATAACAAATAGCGGAATCTCTTGAAATTGTGCTGTTTTCGCTTCCATGCTCCTTTTTTCTCTATATAAAAGTTATATATAAGATACCAACGTACCGGTTTCAGCCAATATTTCAGGAGCGACGTATGTAGGTGTCCCGCAGACAGTATAAATAGGTTCAGTGACTTCCATTGCAAGACCGAAATCAGCTAATTTCAGAGTCATGCTGCCGTCTTTATTTCTGGAGACCTAAAGAACGTATTTGAACATTTTTTGAGTTGAGAGCTACAGAAAAGAGTCGAGTACGACCTATATAAAGGTTCAAAGGCACTAATATAGATGGAGTGAGCTGTGGTAGATTGAAGATAAAATAATTTTCTATTACATTTCAGGCGGGGTGTGTAATTTTGACTTTCCTTGCAAGCAACGAGTCTTTATTTCTCTCTGCTACAAGAATGGCTATGTGCCAATATTGGGATTTTCATTTTTACATAGAAGAAACTCGGTGTGGGTAAGTTATACTTCTGAAATTCTTCAAAGGGTAGACGAGACGGTGCTCCCGAAGTAATTGTACCAAGATGGCGCACAACCTGAACATGGTATGTGTACCGGGTTAGGGTAGTTCAGGTTGTGCGTCATCTTGGTACGATTACTTCCGGAGCGCCGACGAGACAATTAAGGTTTAGAAACCATGTACTAGGGGAATACATTTCCGACCTAGATGAGAGTCCAAATGACATTACAAAATTTTTATAAAGCTATTTCGTATACTTATGTGTTCATATCAAGGTTTCCTGCAACAATCTTTTAAAACGAGGGGCAAATAGCTCTAATTAAGAACAAAATCATACCAATAAATTTTCCGGTTTCAAGTCTCTGTGAACAATATTTTTGTCGTGTAAAAACGCCAACGCTTCACATAAGTCAGCGACCATGTTTGCAGCATCACGTTCCGTGAATTTTACACTTTCGGTAATGGCGTCGAAGAGGTCACCGCCCTAAAAGAAACATCATGTCTCAAAAGGTAAACCCAAAAATAAAATAAAATTACAAGAATTATCGTAAATTTTTGAAATATTAAAATACACATACAGATCGAATTGCACAAAATTTCAAAAAGGCAAGTTACATAAAAATGTACATGTTTTTCTACATTCTACCGTGAAAATCAAAATGGAGGCAAAATACCTTGACGTATTCCAACATGAGGTAAATCTCGTCTTCCGTTTCGAACTCTTCAACTAACCGAACGATATTAGGATGGATACAGTTCTTCATAATTGCGATTTCATTTTCTAAACCCAAACGATTTTTAATGTGCAACCTAGTCGGGCAATCATGGGGTTTTTATTTAAAAAAATAATATAAGACTGATATTTTACAGTTATGGACGATGGCATGCCTTCTAATAACTGAGATGAAAACGTGAAGAAAGTAAATGAAAATTCTGTTAAATATTAAATTATTAGCTCAAATACCGAAAGGAATACTACGCACGTGTGGTATGCAAAGACAATACAGTGCCAATTTGATATATAAAAATAGAGAACTATTACTGTACACTATGCAGAATTGAGACATGAGCTATATTACTGATTTCCAGATAGGCTCACCATAAAACTACGATTAATAATGACTGTTTACACGTAAAGTAAACTGAAACTTACTACATTTTCACTTTTTTGAAATAAAATAACGGGGTTTTATAGTGATTGATGATTAATTAATAAATGTGTAGTTTATTATGAATGTTTTATAAAAGATAAAATGAAATTAGGCAACACCAAAATGTTCAATATTAAGTTGACTAACCAATCATATCTTCCTTTCCTTTTAATTTTGATTTATCGATAATTTTCATCGCATATTCAGCTTCGGTATTTCGTAGTCGAGATTCTTTAACGATCGCGAAATTGCCGTCACCGATCGTTTTCCCAATCTCATACCTCGTTTCAATATCACTTCTGGTAATCATGCCACGTGAAGGTGCCTGGGACAGTCGAATGAAACAGTGAATAAAATAGTAAAAATCGCTAGCTGTTTCTATTTCAATATTGTAACCACGCACGCATGAGCAATAGCTTTTCTTGAAACACTTCTATTCCAATCATCTTAATCATGTGATTGATTTCAGTTGGACGAATCACAATATAATTTGGTTGAAAAACGCTAATTCGTTGGAAACTAGGAGTCGCCAATTTCTATACTTGACATTGAGTCTAAACTAGCGGTTTCCGTCGTTTATGTATAATTGCTCCTTTACAGCACTTCATATATGGTACACCATTTGGGAATTTACGACTGGCCCAAACAAATATATTCTTACAGAGTGCTGGAGATAAAATTATTTGATACCTACCTTGTATTTCTGAACTTTTCGTGATCGATCAGTGTCGTCGACCTTGTGAAAAGGTTGTTTTCTTTGAGGTGTGCTTCGTGTGCTATTTTCCTCCTCCCGTCGTCGCAATTCTTCTTCTCGTTCTCTCTCTTCTCTTTCATGTTTCCTTTCTCTCTCTCGCTCACGTTCTCTGTCACGATTCCTACGTTCTTCCTCTCGTTTTCGACGCTCCTCTTCCTCTTCCTGTAAACGAGAGAAAACGTAACAACTGACTGTTTTTATTGTCCAAAAGAATTTCAACATTGTGAAACTCCTGCGCAATGACGTTTCAATAGACAAACCAAAAATGAGAGAAATGCGATACCTCTCTTCTTCTACGCGCTTCTTCTTCTTTCCTTCTTTTTTCCCTCTCTCGTTCAGCATCTTCCTCACGTATCCGCCGTTCCTCTTCCTCTCGTTTTATTCGCGCCTGTATCAAACATAAAATATAGAAAATATTGCCTGGTATTGAAATCATGTCCACATGCTGACAATGCAAACGTTTAAAAATTTCGAACCTCTTCCTCCTTTCGTAGTTTATCGGCTTCTCTTCTCCGCCTCTCTCTTTCCTCGTCTTCAGCTTTCCGCCTTCGTTTCTCTTGCTCTGCCTCCTCTCTCTTTCTTCGGGCATCTTCTTCAGCGTTCAGTCTACGCCGTTCTTCCTCTTCTTTTTCTCTCCTGAAGTTTGTAATTTTGTTTAAAACTAAGTCAATAATAATCAATTATGTCACGACTAAATGAAGTTATGTTTCGACTTTGATTTAAAAGTAGGCACCTAAATAATAAAATGCATTAGTTTATGTCATTAAACTTCAGAACAAATCAACTCGCCAAGTTGAACCGGAAAATGTGATCATTTAAAATTTTGATGCTTTGGGTGCAAAAAACAAATAGTTGCATATTGAACATTAGTGGTTGATTGCGTTCCCACTCTATATTTACTAAGTTTATCAAACGCCATTTATTGTCGGAAATTACTCAATGTACTAAATTATACGAAGCTTTAATGGGACAAACGGAAATTAAACATACTGTAATTTTTCTCTCTCTCGTTTATTATCATCCAACTGCCTTCTTCTTTTTTCGTCTTCCTCTCTCTGTTTTCTATGTTGTCTTTCTCTCTCTTCTGCCTCCCATTGCTGTCGTTCTTTTCTCCTCCTTTCAGCATCACGAATTGAGGTTTTCACTTCAACGTCTGAGGCTGGGGCGATTCCATTTGAAGCACCCCCAACTCTGCCTCGGCCACGACCTCGTCGCCTGAGTAATAAAAATTTAAATATTCATGTTGCGAAATCGGAATCACCAGAAAATGGTGATTTTGTTAAAACAAATCTGACTTAAAGTGATTTTTCACCTCAGCTCTTCCTCGAGTTCTTCTTGTTCTCTTTCCATTCTTTCTCTTTCCCACTTTTTCGCTCGTTGTCTATCCTCCTCTTGAAATTTTCTTCTTTCATTTAATAAATGACGACCCCTGGCTTTATCTCGAGGAGATTTGTTTGTGCCAACATCATTAAACCTCCTAGCAAAAATATTCGGAAGAACCAACATAAATATGGAAACATAAAACATATATAAAAAATACAATAAGGTTTGCCACAGAAAGTTCGAAAAATAAAGTAAATGAATAAATAATGAAAGGGTTGAAAAAATGGAGAGAAATGAATGAGAAAAAGGAAAAGTTTCAATTCGAGAAAAATTGGAATTGATATGAAATTACCTGTCTCCCTCCGTTGAATCGCCTAGACCGGAGTCAGACTTAGAACCTTTGGTTCCCTCGGCAATCGTGAAAGGTTGCCGTCTTGCACCTTTGTTTTTATAAGCTTTCTCTAGGTTTTGTCGAATTAAATTTTGTGCGTAAGGTGAATCAGGATAAAGTTCTTCTAAGACTTCCTAAAAAACAACGGAGTTGCATGATGAGCATGAATTGGAAGAAATATATTAAAATTTCTTTAATTTGTCAGAATTGCATTTCAAATGGATGACAAAGAAATGCAAAAAATGAAATCATTGTCACCTGCACATCCATCGTTGTTAATTGTTCTTTGCCAACAGCGATAAAAACATCGTCTTCGCGGAAGAAATCTGAAACGGATTTCACTTCCCGACCTTTCAAAGTATACAACCTGAAAATGGTGATCGAATGGTAGATTTTAGTTTTGTAATAGAAACAAAAAACACATTTCCGTAAGTCAGTATAGCTTAATTTATACACTGTTCTTGTAAACCTCTGTTTGAGCTGTGTTAAAGAAAGAAAAAAAATATCGCATATATGGAGCAATTCATTAACGATATTAAAGAGTTTGTTTATTTGCCATAAATAGTAGTACTAACTTCCGTATATGGTCGTTTTTCCATTTAGGTTGTCCGAGTGCTTCTGATATATCGGCAACAAGTTGTTCAAACGTTTGAACCTGTGAATGAAGATCGATATATATGCATTAAAACTTCCGATATTTGTGCAATTATTTGATAACTCCGTAACTCGATTGTAAAAACTAAAGTACAGTAAAAAACGAAAAATAACTCAATCAAAACGATCACTTACCGATCTCCTATTCAACAAAATTGTTATCTTTTTGTGAGGACGGATTTGTCCCGCCCTTACGACGGTAACGACTTTCGGTTTCATTGGTGAATTATCTGGGTGAGTTGTATGAGAGTAATCTGACCTCGGCGCCGTTCCAAATGTCATAGGACGGAACTATGAGATGATGTTGAAACAAATTTAGTAATGTGGTATTCACAAATGAGATAGTTTTATAAACTTTGGCAGATAGTCAGCAAAATCAATTCGAATACCAAACACTTTGGCATTTATATATCTAGAAGCTAATACTGGATTCTTTTCAGAAAACTCCAGAAAGCAGCATTCAAATACATACATTAAACCAATACTAGAAATACTCAAACTACCTTTAGCAGTAAATCAGTATTGGTTACCCAGGGTAGTTCAGAAAATTTTTTTGAAGAAATTCGAAAAAGAGTGTTTAAGAATTCCTAAAGTACGACTTGACATATTCGATGGATTTTTCTTCACACAAAAATGAATTAACCACGGAATTTCAATAATTCCATTAACGAATATTAATAATAAAATATAAGAACCTACCAAGACCCGGAGGTCTATGAGTAAAGTGCCTATAGAAAAGACAAAATAATTCTATAAAATGACTGCTATATTTAGATCCATAGAAAAAACAACTATAGTGGATGCACTGATGAAATAGTGACTTTATAGTCACGTATTAAATACCATGCCAAAAATGATTCACACTACAACCCACACCATTTGTATATTACGCAATACTCGGATAGAACATACTTTATTTCTTTTCTTTGTCCTTTGAAACTGTAAACACATCGCATCAATGAGAAATGAATGTGATGATGGGAATAGGTTATCAAAACAAGTTTTACAATTACAAAAAGTACCACGGATTATAATTATTCGAGTAGGGTAACTTTGATGATATTCAGTAAAAAAACATTTAGAAAATTCAAAAACATCCCAGATATGCATAAGCTAGGTTAGTGTTGCTGATCTGACCTGTTTACTTAGATTCCCTTTGCCGAAGCCTCCTCTTCCTGTTGGAGGATACGTAGATCGCATTCCTCGCGCACCATTAGTAGTATAGGATGCATATGGTCCACCGTTAGGTCGATCGTATATCGCGTCTCCATTGTGGAAGTTGGGCATACGAGGTTGTCCTAAAAATGGATGTGAACCATTAAGTGGTTTCTAACCGGTAAACAAATATGTGAAGAACGGCGGGCAAAATATTAGAGAGGTTTAATAACTCTTATTTGTCAAAAAAGCTTAAAATGATGCAATTTCCGGCTTCTGTACACCTACAATTCCGAAAAAAATTCCGCGTTTTAGGGCATGTTGGAAGGAAAATAAAAACGCATCTACACACCTTTCTTATCAGCACCCTGATAATCCCATATAGTGGCACCCTTCACTTGCCTAGCAACAAGTATCGGTCTCAACATGTAGCCTGATCTTTTTCGACTAATTTGCTTAGACGATGACAAATACTCGTGCTTGAAATCACAAGGAAGGGGAATTTTTGCATAGCGTACATTGGGGCATCGTAAACTAGAAATTATATGCGGCAACACCACCATCTATCTTAAGTGAGATGTCATCTCAAAAAATATATTTCGACTCCATTTTCTGCATGTCTTACAAGAAGTATCCTAAGTGCGCCGAAGATCATTAAATAATGAATATAGTAATTATAAATTTTTAAACAAACACCACCAGAGTATATGGCAAACGACAATAAATATCAAATAGTCAGAATTTCCAGCAGAATTAAAATTCTAAAACGACGTATACATACAGCAATATCCTCAAAATCACAGACTTTATCTATGCTGTAATAAAACGAACATTGACAAAACCCAACACAGTATTTAAAACTACATCTCAACTACACTACATCTACGCCTGAAATTACCATGTTGGACAATGTAACTCGATTAATAGCACGGAGCCAAGAGCCACAAAACCAAACTTTCGACCATCTTCAATGGGTTGGAATATAATATTAAAACGGACACGAGTGTTTACTTAGCGACGTAGGGTGCTCAGCGTTCGCCACCAACCGTTCCATTGTTGTATTTTAAAAAGTAAACGAGGCAATGAATTGTGTTGATGGTAAAGCGAGGTACTTCTTGGGAAGCGAGAGTGGTTCGATCACACATAAGTTTCAAAAAATCAATAAGTAAGGCACTGCAAATATATCCACGAAATGATGTCCAAGAATGCGTCAATTGTCTTCCCATAGTACTATGCTAGACAGTGTTCAACAAAGATATCGTTGCCCGCGAGAATCGGTTATTACCAGATTAACAGTCTCGTTATAGGAAGATAAGTGTGCGACCCTCGGTCGCAGATGACTACTTCTTAAGAGCTTCCTTAAAATTAAAAACTTCTAATAACGTCGGAATTGTTGACTTGGGGTTGTTCGAATTTGTAGCAAGTCATTGTAAGAAGTTTTTTATCATGATTTTTTCATCTATATATTTTGTTGGATTGGTATGCCACGACAAAATGCATGGGGATTTTAAAGTAGAATACAATCCTCGTCTACCTCTCTGCTAAGAATTAACCTGAGCGGGTTCAGAGTCATTTCATAGTGCTCAAAAAGCCCGCTACTCAAAATATGTTTACTATTCTTTTACTAAAACTTCATAAATTTATTCTTATATCCCATGACATACATTTAAGACATTTTTCGTGACGCAATCCAAAAAGAAAGAAAACTGAATGTAGTGTACAGAACTGTAGTACCACATTAAAACATCACCTAGATATGTATCAGACAAGATAGTAAAATTATGAAGACTTCAGAAGTATCATAAAAACGCACTGGCATTTAAAGCCACTGTCCCCACATTATTTCGTATGAACAAGTACACGCCGCTGAAAAGAGTGTCAAATTTACCGATATTCGGTCAGAAATGACACAAGGATATAAATATGACATAAATAGCTAAATACAAGTGAGTTATGTTTGCAATAATTCGAAACCGTATAGTTAGAAGTAGAATCGGAAATCCGGCACAAATGGACTGGAAAAATCAGGCGTTATCAACCCTTGATAGTTTTCAAGATAAAATCAATAATACTACTAAAAATTCTGAAAAAGACACGGAATCACATTGCGCTAAGACCTAAACTAAAGCTAACAATATCGCAAAATCTTGTCTCATTCAAATAATACACAGTAACATTTTACCGTACCGTCGTGAATATCTTGCTTCCCTGTTCTGAGAGCAGGATACCAAAAATTTCTATTGGCGAGATGATTCGTGGATATTGGGTTGCTATGCGACTTCAGAATTTCAGTTGGATTTCCCAGAAGTTTTTCCAGTAAACCTATGCCTCCTGAACTTCTGTGTGAAATTTCCAAGTCTTCCTCTGGTTGCTTACTTTCAATAGCAAATGCTTTCTCGTTTCGACTCGTTGATCTCGTGAGCAAATTATTATTGAAATCGTTTTCTTTGTCACTTCCATATTCCTCGTAAGTGACATCATTCGAATTTCTAGCTTTATTCTTGATAAACTCAGCATCGAAGTCTTTTTTATAAGTTTTAAAGCAAAAATCTATATTTCCTTTTACAACTAACCTCCTTGGCCATTTCCTTGGAGGATTCGTTTCTTTGTTTAGACTAAAATATTTCGCGTACTTTGACATTACGCGTCTTCTGCCTGTCAATAACGATATCTTTCGTCTAGGTCTATCCATTTTAACAGAATAAGGTGACGAATTTTTCAACTCAATTGCTACAGGACTACTTTCGGCTTCAGCAGCGGCTTTTAAAACGCGTTGCTCATTTTCCTTCCGCCATTTCTCCATATCAGATAACTCAGGTGGATTATACTCCGTAACGTCAAACACTCTTCCTTTAACAACTCCTTCTCTTGTCTGGCCAGTCGCTTCGTTGTCAGAAAAGAGAAACCGTCGGATTCTAGAATTCCTGGTTTCATGTCTCATGCACCCGTACTCAATTGGCTTATTTTTTCTATATTCTCTTTCTGAAATATCGTTATTTACGCCCGTTTCTTTTTCTGATTCCACAGAAAATTCAGATGCTGCTTCGTAATTTGCGTCATGTTCATCTATATCCGACAATTGATCTAAATCGCTTTTTGTACTGTCGCATTCTGGTGACGTCATGTCCTACGTTTCGCAATTGTTATTCCATAACTGGAAATGTCATATTTCTTTAACCAGCCTTAACATAAACATAGAATACGCGGCAATAATTTCGACAATATACTATTAAGTTAGACCTCCAACAATGTGTTGTTAAGCAATTCAGAATATGTATGAACTCAATCGATTGAAATCCCTATGATGGAACAGTAACCAATTTTGCTCCCCTACGCTGGGAACTGGTTGACAACTGGTTTCTATATACAACTTCAACTCACTTTCACCAGGCTATTAAATCCGTCGTCATGGTGATAGTAAGCCGGGAGGAGCCAGTTTGAAGAGCACAAATAAACCACTTGACGCATACTTGGTACAGTACAATACTCATCCGACTATGATTGGAAACAAATGAAGAAACCTGTGACTCAGGAGACATGTCAAGAGGTTTATTTTCCGTGGCGTCATTAGAGTGCCACTGAATACCTTTTGCTTGAGCGAGAAGGACAACATAAGAAAGATATCGAAAATACGTACAGTATAAGATGTTAAGTGAAACCAAATATCTTCCATAAACGTGGGAGAAATGCATATTTCCAACGCGGTAAGGTATCGCTGATTGACCACGTAAATATGTTGAGAAAACACGACGCTCACAATTTGGTTTTAACATTTATAATGGGTTTGTGCGAAATATTCGCTTTCTTACAATTCTGGCTCACAACTCTTGTCTAGCTGCACACTTGTAAATCGATATCAAACAAGCAACTTGAACTAATCTACACCTTTCGTAACACGATCAAATGTACTATACATATGAAAGGACCAAAGAAAAACAACCAAGCTAAATAATGTATAATAATTCCCCTAACACAATATGAGTGTACAATGAGAAATAGTGTTAGATAGTAGATATCTACCATCGTGATGAGTGAAGTTTCCTCGCCTACATTCGTGTGGCACATATACTTGTTTATTGCGTATAAATCGTCGTCTATTCGCGTACATATACAACGTGGTTATTACCTATTAAACTACATAAGTTTTCCCTAATATACTACTATCGACAATCGCAACAAAGTTGTGTGATAGAGCTACGCAAAGCGGGAACATTGAAAATAACTAAGATGCTTCTTACCTGCATCAGTCCTAGATGCCATTGTAGCATACGGAGGATAATAATTTTCGGAGTATTCATTCGCTTTTATACGTTTATTCCTAAGAGAAAAGCGAATATCTCGGCCTTGGTTGATCTTGTTTTCAAAAGATATGTACCGGTCTTCTGCTCTGACAGAAGCGTGGTGATTATGATTTGGCGTCTGGTAAAGAAATTTGGATGATTTGGGCTGCATGTGATACCTGTTACTAGCGTCATCGTTGTGAAGTTGGGGAATGTTTCTTTCTCCATTTATGGTAGTGGGATTTGCTTTAAAACGGACAACACGCCGTGGTGCTTCTGGCGATCTATCAGGCGGCGCATATGATTCTTCCCTTGGGCGACAAGCAAACATCATTTGTAATCTTGTTAAAGGTCTTTGATCTTTGTAGTAACATTCATCATCCGTCATTGGTGTAGGTTTAGGAAAGCCATTTGGCGGATATCTTGATGAATGAGGGGTATCCGACATGTACCCATTGGGGAATTTGTAAGTAGGATATCTCGAGTGTTGAAAGTATCGTTGGGGCGCAGGGAACCGTGCACATTCGGTTATAGCATAACGGGACTGAGGATCTTGCGTCCACGCTACGTCCATATTTCCAAATATATTGGTCCAAGGTGTACTCGGTCCGAGATATCCACCGAGTTTAGCAGTTTTGAAATTTTTTTCTGCATTTGTATGAAGAGATTGTTTCACATTGTCTTTCGGTTCGTCAACTGGTTTACTGTGAGTTTTAAGCACAGCTGATCGGGGCGGTATTAAATGCGCAACGTACGGAGCAGGGCGGGTTGAAATGCCAAATTTGCTTTTCACAGATTTATTCGATTCCTCTCCCATAACATCCGATTTTGGAACTGCATGCTTGTTAGATTTTGCACTTTTGGTCTCAGTTTGCGTTGTAGAGGAAGGTTTGAGAGAGTCTGATATTTCATTTGACTTTGTCTTAGGTCGCCTGATTGGTCTAGCATAACTTGGATCTTTATTATTCGACCTGCATCCATCTGCTGAACTAGTAAGAGCAGTGCTGGTAGTGCTTCCTGAAGAAGGACTGGGCCTAGTTTTCGGTTGTTTTTTCACCGTTTTCTTCTTTTTCATAACTGCTTTTTGCTTCTTCTCTTTATTGCCGTAGATAAGTATCATAGGATTAAATTTCCACTTACTTTGTGAAGTCAAAGCTGCCTTACTCATATTACCATTATGGAGATTATTCGATCCTCGGCCAGGCTTCTTTTCCGTCTTAAGTGGGGGTTTTCTGTCAGTTGTAACATCTGTAAAAGTTGACGACGAATGAACACTCAATGCGGAAACAGAAGTGATATCGCCGGACTTTGGACACGACTCATTCAAAGATTTCGACTTGGTTGAAGTTTTACCGTTTTGTTTGGCCTGTTTGGAAAAATCTTTAATTTCTTTGGATTGATTCGAATTCACTTCGTTATTTCTTGTGCAGATCATTCTTGAGGTATCTGATTTTTTCTTCTTGGAGTCGGAAATTTTTTTTGTTCGTTTTACAGTTTTGCTTTCTTTGGATTCAGATACATTCTCAGTCTTATTGCAGTCAGAAGCTTTTGGTTTTCGCAGTGTCAAGTTTTTAAAAGCATCTCTCAGCGAAGATCTGGATGTGCAAAAAGATCTGCTTCTGGAATGATGCTTATTATGAGAATCTGTAGTTTGTGGTGGAGAAACCTCCTCGTCTTCTTCGGGTACGGTATGCAGATCAAGAACTGGTGAGGTATCACAACTCTCCTTGTTAATTTTTATATTACCGGTATTATTCAATAAACCAATTTGTCCATGAGCTATTGGTTGAGGAACGGTAAGCCGGCATGAGTTTTCAGATGGGACTCTATTGTATGTAGATGGACTAGATAACGAATTCAACAGGTTGAGGAAATCATTTTCATGTTGCATCTCAGGGCAGTATCGGGAAGAAATATCAGGGCTTACTAACGACGAACATCGTCTGTGTGGCATAGAATATGGTTTGAATCGTTTAGAATAGTTCTCAGTGAGTGGCTCATCGACAGAATATCGTCGTTGTGATGCTGTTATAAACCCGTACTTTTCGTCTGGCTGTAGGGGATTTGTGACCGTCGCTGGTCGTTCAGGGGAATTTTGTGGCGGATGTATCGGCTTGAAATATATATCCAAGTTCGGTGGAAGTGAGATGTCATCTCGATACATTTCACATTGAGATATAACTGGCTCTGACTGCGGTAGGGGTGCTGGGGTATGTATTGAATGCGTAACAACAGAACTGGGGTAGCGGTCAAATGGAATTCCGTCCGCATCAGACGACAATTCCGTATTTGTAAATGGTAGAGCACCTTGAGAAACAGAAGAATAGTATGGCGTTGCTTCCCCGGAATGAATAGATCGCGCCGTGCACTTTGCAGATATAATTGGATTTTTGGAATCGGTTATAGATTCTAAGTCTCTTTCTGTTGCAGGAGAAATCCATTCTCGGAGAGTCTCACAGCCAGACGTACTTCCGGGAGTAAGTTCAAGTCTGGGTATATTAATATCTTCATCTCTTTCGGCGATCACCTCCATCTGCGTTTCTTGATACAATATTCTATCATTTGTTGCTATTTTCGAAAGCGGAGGGCTGCTGCTACGTATCTTTCTAAATCTGGTAGAAATATGATTTGCGACTTGTTGTTTTCTAACAGTCCCTTGTTCTAATATTTCCGCAACTGTCTGTTTGCGATACCTAGTTACACTACAAGCACCACAATGTCCATGCGTATCATTCGATGTTTCGGGAGTCCTTTTCTTAGGTTGATTTTGATTCCACTTCGGCCTGTCATGTATACTGTTCGATGGTTTCTTTGTGCGTTTACTTGGACCATAGGAAATTGCGACAGGCATACCGTAGTTTTTAAGAAACACCTTGCTTGAGTTTCTCTCAGTGACCCAAATCACAAGTCATTCTCCATTCAGCAAAGCATACTAAAGCAATACTTGGTCACAACTACGCTATTGGCAATTTAACTTATTGAATATCCAAGTCTACACTCATTTAATCGACAAGTAAATACGTCGATGATGAAGGGCTACAGCATGTATCAATTCTCAGCGTACTTGTAGCTTAATCAACCCCACTTGATTGGATAAATTACGCGTTGCTACGGAAACAAATCCATCTATGGAGCACCCTTATACTCCCAATGACACATATCGGATTGAATAGCTATATGAAATCTATGATTGTTACATGACACTAAGTTTGAAGGAAATTAGGGTTAAGGGTTTCAAATCAATATAAAGCGACCATTCCTTGTTTGATAGCATGAAGTGTTACTTGTGGTTTGACCAGTATAAATGACCCGTTGTGTCCCAGATCGTACCACTGAAAGAAACAAGACGAAGTCCAGATTTCTACTGAAACTACCGGGTGAACAAAATTCATGATGCGCAATTTCAATGACACTTGTGACAATTATGAATTATATGTAATCGATATGATAAAACGCAATTTTATTTGTCATATGTGGCATATTTATTGTGCAGTTTATTTGTGTTTATCGAAGAGGTATATCAGAAGAATTTTTTTTTATCCAAGCTGTAAACAATCAGGCTATACACATATCAGATTTCAGTATGGTTCTATTTAAAGTCGAAATGGATTCTCTGATATTTATGTAATGTTTAACTATTACACATTAAACGAAAAACAACAATTTTTAATATTTTCCATATTTGAATATACAGATTTCAAATATACGATTGAAAGTTCAAATAAACAGAAAAGAATAAAATTTAATAACAAAAAGCACGGATAACAAACTACACAATTTAAAATATCACTTTGTTATATGCTATAAGTCAATGTGGCATGTATCTTTAATAGAACAGTAAATATCTCATATAAATATATGCATTAGGTGAGAATAGCGAAATCAATGATCTTCACTCTTTGAATATTACAATATTATGAGGTAACTGGTAATTGATTTTTAACAATAATTTTATGTTGGAGTAAACATATTTGCCCTGTTGTCCAGATCTCTGTTTACTGATTTTTTTAAATTTTTTTATTGAGGTTTTTTATAAAATAAAACAATATTCATCAATAACAATAACAGAAATTCATCATAATAAACACATATTGCATTATTACTCTGATTATATTACTCTGTTTACTGATTACTATAAGCAACAATCGCAGGGTTCAGTAGCGCCATCTAGAGACTGAGAAGAATAACGAAAATTATGTGTCGTTAAAACCCGATGATTGTATTACGGAAGCGCCTCTGGTGGCAAGGCAAAATTGACAAATAATTGGATGAACAACGACGATGGAACGTTCGATATGATAAGTAGATATAAGTATACTTGAAATCAGTATACCAAATATTTTGTAATGCGCCGATAAATTCCTGCCGCAGCATAAAAGATCAGTCCAATAAAATCATTGTTAAATATCATATATACACATATTAGGAGAATCTTATCATTTGGATTTATACGTGAGAAGTAGTGAAGTAGTAGTAGCAAAATTGCGTTGGCGATCACATTTTTTTATTCGTGTTAATTGTTGGCGGAAACTGAAGCATATTCAGTCGTTTATCTCGCGGGAGAACCTTCGCTGTCGAAATAAATTCCCACATACAAACAACAAGGCACATTCAAAAAACAGCATCGGCATCAACCCAACGCCAACACCGACTAAAAAGATATCCACAACATTTGATACAGACAACGGCACCGATACTCAACCTGGGCGACAGAAACAAATTCAGATGAGCAACAAACTTACTGCAAACTGTTAGAGTTGTTATCAATTCAGGTACATTAGATTGTAGTAGCAATGATTGCTGATGCTGTTTTTTGCGACAGGGGCAATTTTCATTCTAATCATAAAATTGTAATTGTCTGTTTTGGCAGAAAGAACTTTTTATTATTTATCTTGTAGTTTTTCTCTTACATGGAAAACTTGAAATGACAACAAAATTTTTCGCAACAGTAATGGGCAACGAGAGAAAAGAAGGTTGAGTACCAATGAACTAAGGCTAACTAAGCCATCATTTAACTTGGTTCGATGAAACAGGCTGAAATGGAAATGACGCATAATGTGCGCAAAATATCAAAATATGACAGAATTATCGAGAACATAATATTATCAAATACTCAATTAAGACTACAAATTCTAAATACTTCTCTCTCAAAAAAATTTATCGTTCATACAATGAGAACTTCAGAGTAAAATATCTTAATACTTAAAAATGATAAATCTTGGATTCTGGCCCAACAATCATAAATCCATAACACTGTATGAAAAATCTTTGCTACCTCAATTCGAAAACCATGGTTCTGAATAATCATGCTTGTATTAAACCAACTTCACAACTGGTGATTCCAAGTGCACATGATGCCTAAAATGATTATTTTAAAAAAGTTTTTCAGGGGCTAGAAGTCAAACGCTACAAAGAAAACTAAGATGAACCAAGTTTATCGATATTTGCAGATATGCATATATATGAGCATATGCAATGCATTATGGGGTTCTAACTCAAATAACTGTAATTTTCGAGATGTTTCACTCAAGCGCACCGAAAAACGCTGTGGGCAAGTACGAAGGGAGATGTAAAGGGCTACAAGCCTTAAATGTTGTGTGGTAGTTGTCACGTCAACGCAATCATGAGCTTCCAAAGACTAGAGGGAGGGGAAAATCGTGCAGTGTCCTTGCAATTTGAACTGAGTAATATTTCGCTCCTTCGTACAGATCGGAAATTTCTAACTTTTCACACAATATGAAATCACCACATTATATATAAATTAATCAATTTCTATTTAAAAGTGCATACAGTATATAGTTTCATATTAGACTAATAGCCAGGTTCTCCAACATGAAAATAAGTAATTCATTTCAGTTTGAGCAACGCTATAATTTAAAGAAAATCATAGTAATATCGAGAATCTGGATCGAGGGTGCAAAGGTTAAATATGCATTGTCAGATGTCGGGAACGGCACGAAAACGAATAAAGTCCCATGATTCTTCAAAAAACACCAGAGTGGTTCAGCACATCACTTGGAAATACTACAATACCAATGTATACCAATGAAAAATTTGATGTAAGGCATAGGAAGTGCGAGTGACATTGAACATATGTTATGACTTTACAATCAGGAACATTAAATTGATAAACAAATTGACGCGCGCTTGAAAAATATATACTCTCCGGGATATGGTAGTACCTTGAACCAACGAGCCCAATCAAATGCCGTTGTCGAAATATCCCACAAGTGCAACGAATATATCGTTTTGGAGAAAGTTTGGGTACAATCACGTCAACACCAACTAAAATGAAAGGTTTTGAAAACCAAATACATCTAATTTTTTAGATACATCTGCTAAAGTAAGGGAAGGAATAATCCAATATGACTATATAA